TTCATTTCTTGAAACTAGTTGGGAAGCCCCCCGGTCCCTACCCCATGCCCCGGCTCCTTCAGCTATGTCTACGAGCATGATTTGCTACCATATTATCTTAGCCCGCTGCTTAATATTGAGCGACTTGTTTATTCGACTGAATTATTCGACTGAAGTATTCGACTGGTTTATTCGACTGAACTTTTCGACTGAATTATTCGACTGGTTTATTCGACTGGATTATTCGACTGAACTAACTGACTGATTTTATCGACTGGACGAGGCCACATGAAAATGTCAAATACCTCATCCCCCCCCCGCCCCACCCCATCCCCTTTCTTCGTTCATATCATATATAGGGACTCTATTCTTTTCGAGGCGGACAAGGACAGCTGTCTAGTCTTTCGGATGGGACGAAAAACCGAGGTCCCGTGTCTACATTGGAGTGGACGTAAAAGATCCCTTTGACAGATGGAATTCGATATAAGAGTAGGCCGTAGTGCCGCTGTCCGGGCAAAATTTCCCTCATCGCACAGTGTATGGCGTCTGCCCGTCTTCATTAGCCCAGTTCCAAGCAGAACAGAAGGACGTTAAACCCCATTTCATTTCTTTTCATTTCTTGAAACTAGTTGGAAAGCCCCCCGGTCCCTACCCCATGCCCCGGCTCCTTCAGCTATGTCTACGAGCATGATTTGCTACCATATTATCTTAGCCCGCTGCTTAATATTGAGCGACTTGTTTATTCGACTGGATTATTCGACTGAATTATTCGACTGAAGTATTCGACTGGTTTATTCGACTGAACTTTTCGACTGAATTATTCGACTGGTTTATTCGACTGGATTATTCGACTGAACTAACTGACTGATTTTATCGACTGGACGAGGCCACATGAAAATGTCAAATACCTCATCCCCCCCCCACCCCATCCCCTTTCTTCGTTCATATCATATATAGGGACTCTATTCTTTTCGAGGCGGACAAGGACAGCTGTCTAGTCTTTCGGATGGGACGAAAAACCGAGGTCCTGTGTATACATTGGAGTGGACGTAAAAGATCCCTTTGACAGATGGAATTCGATATAAGAGTAGGCCGTAGTGCCGCTGTCCGGGCAAAATTTCCCTCATCGCACAGTGTATGGCGTCTGCCCGTCTTCATTAGCCCAGTTCCAAGCAGAACAGTAGGACGTTAAAACCCCATTTCATTTCTTTTCATTTTTTGAAACTAGTTGGGAAGCCCCCCGGTCCCTACCCCATGCCCCCGGCTCCTTCAGCTATGGCTACGAGCATGATTTGCTACTATATTATCTTAGCCCGCTGCCACCGCTGCTTAATATTGAGCGACTTGTTTATTCGACTGGATTATTCGACTGAACTATTCGACTGAAGTATTCGACTGAACTTTTCGACTGAATTATTCGACTGGTTTATTCGACTGGATTATTCGACTGAACTAACTGACTGATTTTATCGACTGGACGAGGCCACATGAAAATGTCAAATACCTCATCCCCCCCGCCCCACCCCATCCTCTTTCTTCGTTCATATCATATATAGGGACTCTATTCTTTTCGAGGCGGACAAGGACAGCTGTCTAGTCGTTCGGATGGGACGAAAAACCGAGGTCCCGTGTCCACATTCGCATGGACGTAAAAGATCCCTTTGACAGATGGAATTCGATATAAGAGTAGGCCGTAGTGCCGCTGTCCGGGCAAAATTTCCCTCATAGCACAGTGTATGGCGTATGCCCGTCTTCATTAGCCCAGTTCCAAGCAGAACAGTAGGACGTTAAAACTCCATTTCATTTCTTTTAATTTCTTGAAACTAGTTGGGAAGCCCCCCGGTCTCTACCCCATGCCCCGGCTCCTTCAGCTATGTCTAAGAGCATGATTTGCTACCATATCATCTTAGCCCACTGCCACCGCTGCTTAATATTGAGCGACTTGTTTATTCGACTGAATTATTCGACTGAACTATTCGACTGAAGTATTCGACTGAACTATTCGACTGGTTTATTCGACTGAACTTTTCGACTGAATTATTCGACTGGTTTATTCGACTGGATTATTCGACTGAACTAACTGACTGATTTTATCGACTGGACGAGGCCACATGAAAATGTCAAATACCTCACCCCCCCACCCCCGCCCCACCCCATCCCCTTTCTTAGTTCATATCATATATAGGGACTCTATTCTTTTCGAGGCGGACAAGGACAGCTGTCTAGTCGTTCGGATGGGACGAAAAACCGAGGTCCCGTGTGCACATTGGCGTGGACGTAAAAGATCCCTTGACAGATGGAATTCGATATAAGAGTACGCCGTAGTGCCGCTGTCCGGGCAAAATTTCCCTCATCGCACAGTGTATGGCGTATGCCCGTCTTCATTAGCCCAGTTCCAAGCAGAACAGTAGGACGTTAAAACCCCATTTCATTTCTTTTCATTTCTTGAAACTAATTGGGAAGCCCCCCGGTCTCTACCCCATGCCCCGGCTCCTTCAGCTATGTCTAAGAGCATGATTTGCTACCATATCATCTTAGCCCACTGCCACCGCTGCTTAATATTGAGCGACTTGTTTATTCGACTGAATTATTCGACTGAACTATTCGACTGAAGTATTCGACTGAACTATTCGACTGGTTTATTCGACTGAACTTTTCGACTGAATTATTCGACTGGTTTATTCGACTGGATTATTCGACTGAACTAACTGACTGATTTTATCGACTGGACGAGGCCACATGAAAATGTCAAATACCTCATCCCCCCGCCCCACCCCATCCCCTTTCTTCGTTCATATCATATATAGGGACTCTATTCTTTTCGAGGCGGACAAGGACAGCTGTCTAGTCGTTCGGATGGGACGAAAAACCGAGGTCCCGTGTATACATTGGAGTGGACGTAAAAGATCCCTTTGACAGATGGAATTCGATATAAGAGTAGGCCGTAGTGCCGCTGTCCGGGCAAAATTTCCCTCATCGCACAGTGTATGGCGTCTGCCCGTCTTCATTAGCCCAGTTCCAAGCAGAACAGAAGGACGTTAAACCCCATTTCATTTCTTTTCATTTCTTGAAACTAGTTGGGAAGCCCCCCGGTCCCTACCCCATGCCTCCGGCTCCTTCAGCTATGGCTACGAGCACGATTTGCTACTATATTATCTTAGCCCGCTGCCACCGCTGCTTAATATTGAGCGACTTGTTTATTCGACTGAATTATTCGACTGAACTATTCGACTGGTTTATTCGACTGAACTTTTCGACTGGTTTATTCGACTGGATTATTCGACTGAACTAACTGACTGGTTTTATCGACTGGACGAGGCCACATGAAAATATCAAATACCTCATCCCCCCTCCACCCCCGCCCCACCCCATCCCCTTTCTTCGTTTATATCATATATAGGGACTCTATTCTTTTCGAGGCGGACAAGGACAGCTGTCTAGTCTTTCGGATGGGACGAAAAACCGAGGTCCCGTGTATACATTGGAGTGGATGTAAAAGATCCCTTTGACAGATGGAATTCGATATAAGAGTAGGCCGTAGTGCCGCTGTCCGGGCAAAATTTCCCTCATCGCACAGTGTATGGCGTCTGCCCGTCTTCATTAGCCCAGTTCCAAGCAGAACAGTAGGACGTTAAAACCCCATTTCATTTCTTTTCATTTCTTGAAACTAGTTGGGAAGCCCCCCGGTCCCTACCCCATGCCCCCGGCTCCTTCAGCTATGGCTACGAGCATGATTTGCTACTATATTATCTTAGCCCGCTGCCACCGCTGCTTAATATTGAGCGACTTTTTTATTCGACTGAATTATTCGACTGGATTATTCGACTGAATTATTCGACTGAACTATTCGACTGGTTTATTCGACTGAACTTTTCGACTGAATTATTCGACTGGTTTATTCGACTGGATTATTCGACTGAACTAACTGACTGGTTTTATCGACTGGACGAGGCCACATGAAAATGTCAAATACCTCACCCCCCCCCACCCCCGCCCCACCCCATCCCCTTTCTTCGTTCATATCATATATAGGGACTCTATTCTTTTCGAGGCGGACAAGGACAGCTGTCTAGTCGTTCGGATGGGACGAAAAACCGAGGTCCCGTGTCCACATTGACGTGGTCGTAAAAGATCCCTTGACAGATGGAATTCGATATAAGAGTAGGCCGTAGTGCCGCTGTCCGGGCAAAATTTCCCTCATCGCACAGTGTATGGCGTATGCCCGTCTTCATTAGCCCAGTTCCAAGCAGAACAGTAGGACGTTAAAACCCCATTTCATTTCTTTTCATTTCTTGAAACTAGTTGGGAAGCCCCCCGGTCTCTACCCCATGCCCCGGCTCCTTCAGCTATGTCTAAGAGCATGATTTGCTACCATATCATCTTAGCCCACTGCCACCGCTGCTTAATATTGAGCGACTTGTTTATTCGACTGAATTATTCGACTGAACTATTCGACTGGTTTATTCGACTGAACTTTTCGACTGAATTATTCGACTGGTTTATTCGACTGGATTATTCGACTGAACTAACTGACTGATTTTATCGACTGGACGAGGCCACATGATAATGTCAAATACCTCATCCCCATCGCCCCCCTAACCCAACATATCATATATAGGGACTCTATTCTTTTGGAGGTGGACAAGGACAGATGTCTAGTCGTTCGGATGGGACGAAAAACCGAGGTCCCGTGTACACATTGGCGTGCACTTAAAAGATGGGGGGCATATGGGGATGAGGGAAAAAGTCAAGCATGACTTTATTAAGCCGCGGTGGCAATAACTAAGATAACACCTTAAAGTTTTAATTTGAACAATCAAATTTGAACATGAGGGGACGTAAAAAATAAACAAAAACAATGATAAAAGATATTGGAATTAGTGCGTTTTTTCTTTAACTTATACAGATTACAAACGATTCCAAAATTTTAATAAGCCATCGACCGGTTTATTCGACTGACTATTTGTTTTGGACTTAGGGTCGACTCAGTTTCAATGTAAATAAAACGTCTGGATAAACAAAATATGGGACGGCCATTTTTGTAAATGAATAATAAGAAATACAAGTCGGTGTCGAAATCCTAAATATTGCTGGGTGTGAGACATTTTTGTTAGGTTTCTTTTTAGAATTTTGTTTCATACCGTAACCATAAATGTCTGGAGGTACATTACAGGTACGTTATGGGATATTTTAAGTTCAGGAATACTGTTTAGTTTCCTTTTTTCGACCTTCCTGGATTTGTTTTGATATTGGATGATTAAAATAAATAAGTGACAAATGATCACAAGACTCTTGAAAATATAATTCTCTTTTAGCAGCCCAGGGGGGTATTCCAGGGGAGACCAGATCTATTCCTTAACGGAGGTAAACCACTTCGATTAGATGGAAAACAAACTGAATTGAATTGAGTTTATTATCTGGTGTTATTTAAATATTTTTGATTAGCCAGGATATAGACATAGTCTTGTCAGTCTTGTAGCCTATCTGATGGGATTAACCTTTTGTTTTGAAAGATCATGGGTATTTTAAATTCCATGGTAAGATTAAACCCCCTTCTTCTCAGGACAGCAAATTTTAAAGTGACATTTTGATATGCAAAAACTTATTATGTTTTTACCCTCTTTTTTATATGCCTTTAATAATAATATTTCCATAATCTTGTTTATATATGATTACATTGTCGCACTTTGTTAATTGGATGTTAAATTTGTAATAAACAACAACCTTAACCGGATATCATCTTGTTTACCAATGTTTGTTTGATTGTTGGAGCACTCACTGCACTGTGTTATAGTACCTCAACACCCATATATTAATAGAAGTAATATTTTCAATGAAAACAATCCCACTAACATAAGCAAGATATTATATAAAATTCGCTGAAATCACAGATTTTAAGATTTGGACACAACTCATAGATGTCGAATCATTTTAAATATAACCACTGTTAAAAGTTTTTTTTTTTCTGGCATTAATAAATAAGAATACTCCACAGCCATCAACTTCAAGCATCACTTCAAATAAACAGAATTAACTCTGAAGTTATGTTACAGCTAGACTATTATAGTATTATTAAATCGACCACACTCAGATACTGATCGTGTGACTGCCAACATTATAGAGGGTTATTATTTGATCAAGAATATCGGAGATTGTAAGGCACACACTGACAACAACATGTACATCTTATAAATAATTGTCAGGTGTACAATTTATGTGAATAAGAATAATAAAACAACACTTGGAATAAGACTGGGAATTCCTAGTGAAGTGAGCTATTTATAGCACAACAGTAATAACTCATAATAGGTAGAATATACAGGTATAAACAAAATGATGACAAAAATCACTATCACATGATTTACTATGCCATGTATAAAAATAATTCTTGCTCACAAACATGTGATGACATCAAGATCAATTACCTTGGCTACGACTGATCATATAAATGTGGATAAACTCGTCGCTTGCGTTATTAAGTCTTTTGTGAGCACCTTAAAACAAGTTGTGAAAATCTCTTTAGTCGGTCGATTTAAAATGCCAGGAGTACTTGGTGAGCGTATCAATAATAAAGGATATTACTTTGCAGGAGTAGCATTGGTGGTATTGAACTTTTTAATTAGTCTAATGGTCTTTAAAGCATGTATTGGGAAAATATGTTTTTGAAACAAAATTCCAATTTTATCTGTTTTATTGTAATTTTGACTTTTAAAAGTATGTTAAATTTTTTGCAAAGTCGAGGAGAGAACATTTTCCATGTGAGTACTTTTTTACACTTTCAGAAAGCCATTGACCTGGTTACTAAGGCAACCGAAGAAGACAAAAATAAGAATTATGCGGAGGCGTTAAGACTTTATGAACATTCTGTTGAATATTTTCTTCACGCAATCAAATGTAAGTACACTATTAGATTTACAGGTGCATTTAAATCATTTAAAATGTGTAAACTCAACTTAATCTTTCTAGAACACCTGATAACATTTCTCTTTATAAGTTCTTATTGTTAAACATGCATTATTCAAGAGCTAAATTTGCCTATTGCAGGTCTTCTTTAGGTCTTTAATGTAATATGAATTATGAATTAGACATTTATTAACATAACAAGACTCTCGATGCCATCAGATAACTATTTTAGGAGGGGTTGGCCATTCAATGATTTGATTTAAAAATGCCAAAGCGAGGCTAAGACTCTAATAAACTAGTACCACCTGTGGTTACAATAAAAAACAATCAATGCATACATCTTGTCAAAACTACAAACAGTGATAATTTGGCTCAGAATAAAGTAATTCGAATTTTGAATGAAATTTCTAATATTCATTTTAAATTATCTATTTTTGAACTATTATAGCGAGAACTGTTAATTCTTTATTTAATCTCCCATAATGCCCCTTTATTTAAGTCTTTCTGTTGTAGTTTTAATGTTATTCAAGTTTAAATGCCTTTGAAGGTTATCCTTTTAGTCTTCATGTGGGATGGAAAACTGCTGTCTACCCGTGTATTCAAATGTGCACGTAAAAGAACCCTGTACAGTTGGAATTTGATTAAGGTTAGACAGGGATTCATTTAACTGTACACTGCGTATGATGTAGCCCTGTCTTAAATAGCCCAGTTGGTGTGCACAGATTTTTAAAATATTTTACGTAGGGTCGCCTGTGCAACCTCATGGCTTTTCTCCGAGTCCTCCAGTTTCCTCCCACTGCTAAAAAGACCCCTTCTCGAAACGACCTAGTTTGTGTCGAGTGGATGTTGAACCCCATTTCTCTCTCTCACTCTTTCTCTCTCTCTCTAGATTTTTTTTATTGGTTTTTTTTTTTTTTCAGATGAAGCACAAAGTGATAAGGCTAAGGAAAGTATACGAGCCAAGTGTGTGCAGTATTTAGATAGAGCTGAAAAATTGAAGGGTTTTCTAAATAAGGGAGGACCCAAGAAGAAGGTCTTAGATGGGGAGGGAAATTCCTCAAACAAGTAAGTCATTGTGTATTTTTTTGATAGCAAATTTTGGTGTATGGAAATTTTGTCGTGTTCTAATGGTAGAAATGGCCATTTTTATTTTAAAAATTGCTCACCAAGAATTCTCATAAATTCATTACATCTTTGATATTTATTTTGTAGAGATAAAAATGAATCAAGTGATGAAGATTCGGAAAAAGATGCAGAAACAAAGAAATTTCAAAATCAATTATCAGGTAAAATGCGAATATCTGGCGAATAAATTTTAACTGAGGCGTTCTATTCTGATAATAGTCACAGTGTTTCATTTGATTTATCTCACTTTTGCATCAACATTTTGTGAAAATGGAATCCCCAGAATTGCTAAAGAACATGGCCTACACACGTTATTCATGTGAAATTAAATTTACTAAAACCAAAATTAATAAATTGTTACTATGATAATAAAAATTCCTAAAGAGAGATTGAGAAACGTGGTTTAACATCCATGTAACTAGGTCATTTCATATGTAACTTATTGCATATTTTCATTCGACCCTTCTCAAGCACATGTCTACGACTGTAACCACAACAAATGACTCAATGACAGATCTTATGATCTAAATGTTCGATGGTTCAGCCAATAATAAAGAGAGAGCGAGAGAAATGGGGTTTAGCGTCCACTCGACACAAACTAGGTCATTTCGGGACTAACATATGGTTCAATTTTATTTCAATAATTAGCTTACACGTAGGTGTCTTTAGCAGTGGGAGGAAACCGGAGGACCCGGAGAAAACCCACGAGGTTGGACAGGTGACCCTACTCCTTGTCACGTACAACCGGGGAATCGAAACCCCGCCAGTTGACTCAATGACAGACCGTATGATACAGCGTGCATGTGCTAACCATTTGGCCATCCAACCCCCCCAGCCAATAATAACACTACCCAATTAATTTCAATAATTTGCATGAATAAGACTATTGAGAAAATATCTTGTAGTTCAAAATGGACATACATGTATATTGTATTCTGATTGAAATGTGGCGTCGAATGAGCATGGCAGTCTTCTATATTTCATGGGGCGACTTGGTACTAAATAATGGCTCACCAGTAGAGCTGGGCAATATCTCTGGAAACAGATATCGCAATATTTTTAGACGCCCACATTTTCATGTTGATGTATTATGCCGTCACAATTATCTAACTTAGAAAACTGTTCAAATATATCAACGTAATACCGGTTAAATTTGAATTTTGTCAAAATTGGACCAAAACTGACAGACAAAATGGGCGCCCCTCTACGCAAATAGTGTAAACATCTGGTATATCAAGGTTGTGAACCCTCTTGAGGTCACAATTTTGATCTAATTTCGATAAAATTTGAAATGCATGTTTATAACTCAAAGATCTTGGTTGATTTCGATATGTTAATACATCACCGTTACACACTAAGATCTTGGTTCCTTTTGATAATCGCGCATATCCGAACAAAACTTCCTGGATTAGGTCAAAATTTTTATCCGATTTTGGTGAAACTTGAAGTTCCTTTCGATATTCACGCATATCGGACCATATCTTCCTGGATTATGGCTCCAGATCGTACAAAAAATCACATTATTTTTTTAGCTCGTTCTCTGTCCATCTCTTGCAAAATGTTGGTCTATCTTGCATGTCAACTGCTTGTTTGAAAATAGCGATATAATCACTATATTTTATAAAATGTCAATAATTTCTCTTTATCAATTTTTAAATGTAAAAAAAAAACATGCGTAAAAAGTTGGATATACCTCCGAAGTATTTATTGGACACTTTCTAGTCAATATTATGAAAAGTTTTTAACATAAATAAGCCTACATTACCGAATTTACAAACAAAATTTAATGAGTTGGTTCAAACACAAATCTATCTAGAGCCATGAAGACTTGCAAAAAATATTGGTCTATGTTGTTTACTACAGTTTTAATTTCCAGAATATTAATTATGATATTTTATTTCAATTAAGAATATTTACATGAAGGAGGCACAAAAAACATAAAAAACAAGCTGGTGTTCTTTCAGCTGTGCATGTTTTTTAGAACTATGGGTACAATTAATTGAATGCTATTCAATTGCCCTAGCACACTCGTTTTTTCTCATTCAGACACATACCTTCTTGAAAATCCATTATGACATGCAAAAATTCTAAATAATACTATAAAACGTAAGTACTATGTCAAAAAGTGTCCATTGATTTAGTAAAATACTATTTTCTGGATCACGGACTGCCACAACACATCCGGCGCTGAATGATAATCAGTCTACCGGAACTCTCAATGTAGTTGGCATTATTTATATTTCTGCTTTATTGAAATTTAATTCCATCTGAAAATCAATGATTCCTTTGGAAAATCAAAGCATCTGTATAAACAATCCGCCAAGAAATTGAATAAAAGCAGGGATAAGTCTAACAGTATTGTCGGGTGGAAAAGTGAGTGAGAAGTCACATGACGTAACAAAGACGGTATTTTTGACAGTTTTTATTTCCGTGACGGTTTTATATGGAAAAACCGAAATATCGCCCAGCTCTACCGACCAGTGGCAAAAAATTCTTCATTTGAAAACTTTATTCCAGCAAGTGAAAGTTAAACCTGAATAATATTGTTTCTTTAAATTTGAACAGGAGCTATTGTGATAGAGAAACCTAATGTTAGCTGGGATGATGTCGCTGGTCTAGAGGGAGCTAAAGAAGCTTTAAAGGAGGCTGTCATACTGCCTGTTAAATTCCCTCATCTATTTACAGGTAAATTACATTAAACTTTAAAGCAGACCTCCCATTTTGGTTATTATTTGTCCAATTTATGGCCTTTTTTAAAAATTGTCACATTTCTGGGAAAAGTGGTATCGTGCCATTTTATCCACTTACCTCTGGGTCCATCCGCAGGGTTTTCATGCATTCAAATTATCTGCCCTTGATTGTAGCTTGATTCTGAGAAACGATCAATAAAATGAGAGTTACTTCCCTTCGCCCACTGGATTGGTCGCTAAAATTAGCAGATAATTTGACTTATGTGTCTCCGCTGTGGATGAACCCAGAGGTAAGTGGAGTAGAATGGAAAGATACCACTGGGGATACATAGAATGTGGTAGAACACAAGGGCTCAGTTCAGCCATTTTGTCAGTCTTGACTGACTGGCTGAAGAACTTACCTATCATTCTATTTACTTGTCATAAACATAGGAGTTAACGTTATCAAGGAACCAGAATGATTTTATTTCTCTTTACTTAAAATAAATACACGAAATGCTGTATACAAACTTCATCAACATTTTTTTATAAAGGGATGATCCTTCACAGAATTGCTTAACTTTTATCTAATCGACTGGTGTTTATATTTTTGATACCAAAACAGTCCAGTACAAGATTCTTTTATTTATTAACTATGATTGCTAGACTCCAGAAATAATCTGTAAAATGATGACTATTAAGGAATTTATTTCATCTGATAACATTTTATTTTTCAGGAAAAAGGAAGCCATGGAGAGGAATTCTTTTATTTGGTGTAAGTTGTATTTATGCACTTTATACTTGAATACTAAACTTGTGCTGTCTGAGAATGGACACTAAGCTAGTTGACCGACATTTTAAGTCCTAAATCAATGATTTTAGTTGAAAATACTAAGTATATGTCTAGAATTTTGAGAAATATATATTCTTCTTTCATTTAATAAAATTGAAAAGGTTTAATTAGTCTTTGTGTGTAACACTTAACTGATGTGAACCAGAGTAGGACCGCATTACAAAACAGTATACTAATTGTTGGATATGGCTTCCATTTATGTCAGAGATCTATTCTCTAGAATACAGTAGATAGTTCTCTGTGTGCAGAATGTTTATTATTGAATACTTTATGTATACAAACAGTAGTGATACTATTTCAATTACCATCTTTTTTGTTGATTTTGGTTGTAGGTGACAAGGAGTAGGGTTTCCTGTCCAACCTCGTGGGTTTTCTCCAGGTCCTCTGGTATCCTCCCACTGCTAAAAACCACTATGCGCAAGCGAATTATTGAAATAAAATTGTACCATATGTTAGTCCTGAAGTGACCAGGTAGTGTCGAGTGGACGATAAACCCTATTTCTCTCTCTCTCTTTCTTTTGATTTTTTTTATTATAGTTTATTTGTTTATTTGTGAGAAACAAGAGGTGGGCCTTTGTTTATGGAAAGTTGATGCACCTGTTGTCAATATAGCTTATTACCATAGTGTTTGTTTTATCATATCTTATTCTCAAAGGGATCAGAATTCTGTTCCAGTCCTGTTCTATTGATGAAATTTGATTATGTTTAATGTGTATGAATATTTTCTGTTTTATAGCCCCCAGGTACTGGTAAATCATATCTAGCTAAAGCAGTCGCAACAGAAGCCAACAATTCTACATTTATATCTGTTTCATCATCCGATTTGGTCTCAAAATGGCTGGGAGAGAGTGAAAAGTAAGTTTTGTCTATTTTACTATAAGGTATAATATAATAAGGTATATTTTCATCACCCCTCTCCTCCAGTCTTCTGTCAGTTAATCTGTCCGAAAAATTTTCCCTCATCGCACACTGTATGGTGTATACCCGTCTTCATTAGCCCAGTCGGAGAAGAGCAGTAGGACGTTAAACCCCATTTCATTTCAGTTTTGTATTACATTGTACTCATGTTTTAAAGTTCATGTACAAGATGCCATTGTTATTACTCAAGGCCTGCCTATATCAAACTTCTCTTCCCAATGATGATTTAAAGAACATTATAATTAACTATAGAACAAATGATTAGCTTGATAACATTTAGTGAACTCTCTTCGAAACGTTGCCCACATATATTACTAGCTGTTTTCCATTTATAGGTTACTACTCTATCCAGTTACTAAATGCCTCTAATAGATTAAATGTATACCAATCTGATTAAAATACAGATCTATATTTCATTTCGTTTTTTTATGCTTTCGATGGCCTACAATACACGGAGCGGCTTTTGACCCTGTGACGTCAGACATTGATTAATCAATCAACGTTGACGTTTCTAGTGGTTTACCCACAGTTCCGTGCATGGCACGCAAGAACTCACTGTAACAGACCATTTCATTGGCTAATCCCTCACTTCAACCAAAACGCCTGTTGTATAACAACTATTCCAGATCCTAGTGTAGTAAAAACAAGTAAAACAAAATATTGAACTATAAAAATGAAATGAAATAGGTTCTGTGTTTTAATCAGATTGAATATATACCATTATCATCTTACGATGACTTATTATTTATCTTTATTTTTCAGATTAGTTAAAAATTTATTTTCTCTGGCTAGAGACCAGAAACCTAGTATCATATTTGTTGATGAAGTTGATGCTTTATGTGGTTCAAGAAGTGAAAATGAATCAGAGTCTGCCAGAAGAATAAAAACTGAGTTTTTGGTACAGATGCAAGGTGTAGGAAATGATAATGATGGTATATTGGTTCTAGCTGCTACAAATATACCCTGGGTTTTAGATTCTGCTATAAGAAGAAGGTAAAGCTAGTTTCCCACTGTCGTGGGATACATTACGATAGTATTGTCCCTATTGATTCCACGATCTGGTACGTGCAGATACGTTCGGATACGTTTTGATATAATCAATTGCTACGACTGACCTCACCTTGATTACTCCACGATTAAAACCACAATTTCAATCGTAGCAGGAATCATGATAGTGGGAATCTAGTATAAAAGAAGTAAAATGAAATGGGTTTAATGTTTTACTTTTCCAGTCCAACTTGCCTTTTTGAAAACAGGTACTCGTCATACAGTTGGTACATGTATGTGGGAAATTTTGCTCATACAGCAGGGTTATCAGGAGAATCTTCAGGGTTTTTCAAGCCTGGTTCTCTCTTGTCAGGGATGCTTGTTTTTGAGGGCTGACAAAGAAAGTATAATTAGTTGTGCTGATAGAACAAGAAATACGTGATGCACCTGTGTGGACACTGGCGTGTGCTTAACAGCCACCTTGACAGTTGAAGACTACGATTAGGCAAAAACACAGCTGACACTGCAAAATTTTCCCCCACACATCGCAGACATAACCATGACAATATCCATTTTAGTCTCAAATCCCATTTTATTTTATTCTGTCTGCAGCACCATGTCAGCTCAGTAAGTAAGGTGCTGGCTTATTAACTAGATGGTCCTTGATTCAATCTCAGTGTTGGCCGAGAAAGCTCCTCATGTTTTCAGCATGGCTTCCCATTGTCAGTGGGGGTTGGATGACCTAATAGTTATTACCTGCGCGCTGTATCATAAGGTCTGTCATTTAGTCAACTGGCGTGGTTTCGATTCGTCGGTTATTCATAACTAAAGAGTAGAGTCGTCTGTCCAACCTCGTGGGTTTTCTCCGGGTCCTCCGGTTTCCTCCCACTGCTAAAGACCCCAATGCGCAAGCGAATTATTGAAATAAAATTGAACCATGTGTTAGTCCCGAAATGACCCAGTTGAGTGGATGTTAATCCCCATCTCTCTCTCTCTCTCTCTCTCTCTCTCTCTCTCTCTCCCCTTGTCAGTGATGCAGGATAAAGGGCCTTGTAAGGAACGGTGTCTTGAGTCATTTGAACGGCACGACAAACGCAATCGCTTGTTAGTGTGCATGTTACATAACCTTTGATATTTGGAATTTGAATATTTGTGTTACTTTAAACTAAGTTCTTATAATTGAATTTGAATTTTCAGATTTGAAAAGAGAATCTATATACCTCTTCCTGAAGCACCTGCTAGAACAGAAATGTTTAAACTTCACATGGGGTCTACACCACACAATTTAAGTGATGAAGATTTCAGACAATTAGGACTGAGAACAGATGGGTAAGAATCATCTTTACTAATGGATTATATCTATACTAATATTCGTTTGTTTGTTTGTTTGTCTGTTCAGGGTTGGCGGCTACACTAGGGTTGTCCTGAGTCTGAAATTTGGTGGCGATCGACTACCACTTCCTGCTTCAGAGTTATGCCACATCCGGTTCATGACTATACCCATGCTATGTCGGGTCAACCACTAGTATATGATATTTACATTTTGACAAGAAGAAGAGTAGCTGAGGTTGGACAGGCCAATAGATCCGGGTATCTGCTGGATCAAACAATGATGCCAGCGGAGAGAGTAAACATGAATAATAAATATAAAAATCCATGCTTAACAGTAGTACGGGCCAATTTTAAGTAGAAGTGAGAGGTGGTTTATCCATCATAACGTTTCAGGTGATACAGAAATGAAATGAAATGGGGTTTAACGTCCTACTGTTTTGCTCCGAACTGGGCTAATGAAGACGGACAGGTGATACAACCCTTTCTCAAATGGAAACTACATTCTACATTATCTTGTGAAGTCATCTGATCTGCAGAACTGTAGGCTATGAATAGCTAGAACATCATTCTAAAGTAGCAGAGTTGTACAATTAAAGAGCGAATTTTGCCAATAATATAAAATAATGAAATATGGGGAGCAATTTTCGACTGATGGATGCTGGATAAAATAAGCTGTCCTCGATTTAGTTGTTTGATGGCGCTCAATCTTGCTCAAGGGCCTCAATAAACAGTGACTTTATATTATTTTTTTTTTGTAGTTTTTCTGGAGCTGATATAAGTATTGTTGTAAGAGATGCGTTAATGCAACCTGTACGTAAGGTTCAAACTGCTACACATTTTAGAAAGGTGAGATTCAATTTTTTTTTGGGACCAACTACAAATTGAGTGGGTTGTTATCATCAATCCCAAGGCTCGTTCAGTTGGTCAGTGTGTGACTGTAAATTGATTACATGACAGTTTAGTAGTCAGTAAAATACAAATGTCCTGCAAATTGTAAACAAACACTACACAAAGTATGAATAGGGTAAATGTGTGATGTACATAAAATTAGCAGGGTGCAGCACCCTTCTTTCCTGATGTAGGTAAACCTCTGTTAACACATTGATTAAACATACATTATGCAAGAGCTAAATCTGCCTATTGCAGGTCTTTCTTTAGGCCTGAAATGTTTTCTAAATTATTAATTAGACATTAATTAACTTATCCAGACCATAATCAACTCTCCATGTCATCGCTAGCCTGTGATGTTTATTGGATTAGGTTCCGATTTGCTATTTGACTTCCATTCATGATTTAATCACGAAATGGATAATCAAGACTATGTTTTTAATGATGATCGAGGCTAGGACGAAAATTCAATCGTTAAAATCTTGGTTCAGAGTGGATCAATTTGACTGAAATTTCCAGCATATTCCCTTTACATTATCTAATTTTTAACTATTATAGTGAGAACTGCCAGCTTTTTGTCTGATCTCCCATAATGTATCTTTAAGAATAATGCAATCCATTTGTGTCTCCATATTACATTGAAGCACTACAAGGCTTAGGATTTTTTCACAGCTTAAGTTTAATTTTTGTCTGATATTTTAGGTGAGGGGTCCATCTCGTAGTGATCCAAATACAATAGTAGATGACCTATTGACCCCGTGTTCACCAGGTGCTCCAGGTGCTATAGAAATGAGTTGGATACATGTCGATGGGGATAAATTATTAGAACCCATTGTTGGCATGGTAAGTATATAACTGTAGCTGCTGTATTGTACCATTAAATTCAAAACCTAGTCAACCGCTATCTCTACTGTATGGAGCCACAGTGGTTCAGTGAGTTTTCTGGTTAGCTTCTGGTGTTGGCTGAGAGTGTACCTCTGTATTTTCTGGCTTTAATTGACCATGTCAGTTGTGTAGGCCTGAGGACCTGGAAGGGAACAGCGTTTAATTGTGGTCAGAGCAAAATTTCCCTCATAACATGCTGTATAGCGTATGCTCATGTTAATTAGTCTAGTTGGTGCAGAAAAGTACGATATTAAACCTGTTTAATTAACTTTGAATCTCATCTCCATTTATCAAATTATATTTTTATTTTATTCTTTATAGAGTGATATTTTGTTATCGTTAACAACATCAAAACCAACAGTTAATCAAGACGATTTAGAGAAGCTGAAAAAATTCACAACAGATTTTGGACAAGAAGGATGAATAGACTATATTTATATATTACATGTATATGTATATAGAATTTTATCATATTGTATTTAAAATATCTAAGTTGACTACTCCATTGATTGAATGGGTTGCTCCCCCTTTCTTTCTTTTGTACACTCATTTGTGTGTGTATGTCGACTTACAATTCAGAACCATAAACTATTGTAATGAATTATATATATCACATTGTTTCTTATTGCTTTCTACTTTGTAAATCATTTTAAAATGTCAAAACTGCTCCATCCTTTACGGTACTCTGTTAGTCAACTGCCCAGCTTTGTAGGTCTTTCTCCTGGTTCACTTGTTAAGCCTGAATGGATTGCTGAGATGCAGAGTCAAATCTAGTGATGGAGTTGTAATTACCCACTTTCAGATGTTAATTTACTTTTTCTGTGCATAAGATTATATGCAATAGTTGACCTAACAATCCCTAAAGGAATATATCTTTAAATCTTATAAATATGAATAATCAAATGTTTATAGTAATTCATAATGCATGGTTTTCTGCATTATGTATGATTATCATTATAATCCTGGTTGTCCTGTTTTATCCCATTATATTAAACTCTAATGGTCTCATATTCAAGATGGTGGTTGACAAATCTGCAAGGATTTGCCATTAGCCAATCATTTTACCTATAGCCCAATGAGGTCAGAGTAAACGTTAAATGTGGAGACCATACACAATATTACCAGCCAAATATAGAAAACGATGACTATATATACTATAAAGATTAAAACTGCATACAAATGAATGCAAGAAAAAGTTTGAACATGTAGTATATATAGTGCTTTGGTGAATTGGTCATCTTAAAATAAATGAATATAAATTAATGCATAAGTAAACTAGAAATATGTTTGAACAGTTAAAGTGACAATTCCTATTTCGGTATAGTCTGAAATGGGTTCTTAGTCGTACTGTTCTACTCCGACTGGGCTAATGAAGACAGTATAGAGTGCTAATGTTGCTCATAATAAATGTCTTCATTAGGCAGGAGGTGTACAAAATACAGAAAGATGTAAATAAGGTTATTTGTATGAAAATACATTTAATTATTATTATTATTATTATGAATGATTTGTTAAATGTTGTAATCCAACAAATTGCAGTCTTCATTTTGTGCTTATATTATGATGAATACTTTTGTACATATTATTAATAAATTACTAGTAATGTAAAATTTGGTCTTATTTTTTGTTCCATCCTAACAACTAGATGCCGTTCCTTGCCAGGCCCAACATCCTTGCTGACTGACAAGGGGAAACCATGCAGAAATATCCTGAGGAACTGTCTGGTTAGCAAACTAGTGCCTTGCTCCCCACATTGAAGGATAGATTGAAGTCCTATATTGTTTACACAGTAAAATTATCATACTTCCAAGAGACAATCACACATAATGTACAAGACAGATCAAAGCTGTTTTGATGGACTGTTATCATACACAGGACACAGTATGCTTTCACAAACACTTAATACCACTTATCATTTAAGGTGTTCACATAACTAACAAATTTTGTAACCACCCAAAGGCCAACTGATGATATTTGACAGTTGACACAGATATATGGATTCCAAATATTTATTTTGCATATTTTCAAATTTTAGTGAACAAGGGACCTTTAAATTTGATAAAGCGTACATTTGAACATAAATTTGAACCGATGGTGTCATGTACAGGTATTTATTTGATTATTTATAACTTGATCAACACATGTAGATTATCTGGGTCCAAAAGTCCAGTACTATTGTAGATTGATTTGAATTTATTATATTAATATATGCAAGCCACAGCTTGTTAAAATTAATACAAACTATAATCTCTTAATATAGAAATTCTGGTTTTATAATCTATTTATTCGAAGGGTGTAAGTTTATAGACTAGTATTTTCAGTAGAAAACAGCAAGTGGGTATAGTAAATTAATAACGGGATTCCACAGTGTTACTATTTATATAACGGGATATCCCTATGACCTTGACCTCAGAATATTAAGAGCATAACATTCTGAACGTGTTGTGGTAAGGGTGTCTGGCTTGTTTGTCTTGATTTCTCACTTTTTTTTTGGCGATTTACAGCAAAGAATTGAAACTACAAATAACAGGCATTATGTTTCGAATAACTGAACAGAACTTATCGGTATTTTGCGCTAGACTTGGGTTATATTTAAGCCACAAAAGTCCAGTAAGTAAAATGTCGGTGAGAGGAAAGGTGCTTAGTGTTGAGAATATGAATCCATTTGTAAAGAATATGGAATATGCAGTCCGAGGTCCAATAGTTATCAGAGCTGGTGAGATAGAACAAGAATTAAGTAAGGTAATTCCATATTGATGACAAACTAGTTTAAATGCATTTCAAGAGCATGCAATAAGCAGAGCACATCTTGTAATGTAAACATTGAGATGATGTGTAATTGAATTGGGATGATGTAATGGTTTAATAGTTTTAAGGTCAAGCCCTGTAATGACAATGTATATAAAATTTAACATTGATATTGATATTGTAACTTAAATGTATATAGTATAATTATAGTTTCATTTTAGAAGTATTCATATGAGTGTTACATGCTGGTATATAGTGACAGATAATTCATACAAATACAAACAACTTTAGATCAGGCTCTTTTTGCAGGTTAAATCTGATTAAAAGAAATGGGGATCATTTCCATTTATCTTGTTATTTTCCACGAAGCACACAGTTGTTTGACTACTGTACTGTACTGCCCTACTACTATACCTGGTGCTTTAATGTCTGCTTCCACAGAAGTGATATCGCCCTGACAGTGGATTTGATTTAAAAGGCCAGGGGTCTTTTCATGTACTGGTCTGGTACTGCCGATGATGTCCTGAGGCCTGTAGCTAGGGAGGGGCGGGGGATGTGCAGCCCAACCAATGCGACTCGACTTTATGGGGCACCGCCAGGCCATGTCCCCCGTTAGCTATGGGGCTGGTCCTCCACTGTGCTGATAATAATAAGGGGAGATCACAAATTTTATGTAACCTGGAAGCTCCTGGTTGGTGGAGTCAGCACCTTGTTGTCTGTGCCATGTGTAAGAAATAAATGAATTATGTTGCTAGAACTTAACTGATATTTTTTTTTAAAATTATTTTTCTGAACAGGGTGTAAAGAAGAATTTTACAGATGTAATAAGAGCTAATATTGGTGACTGTCACGCTACAGGACAGAAACCTTTAACCTTCTTACGACAGGTAAGTGTACATGTATAGATGGTGTCAGTCTGTTTTACAGAGGTAACGTGAAAAGTGGTGATAGCCTTCTTTTAACTCTGTGCAAGATGACTGACATTTAAGTTGACGTGCAGAAAAGGTCGATGTGTGATGTCAATAGTGCGTGCATTGTTTATATCAGACATTGTAACACAACTGGCCCAGGAAGAATTGGTGCTTTTTACTCATTTTATGCTTTCGCTTACAATATTTTGTACATTTATCCGTTACACTAAATAGGAAATATTTTTTATCCAATTATTTTTCTTGATAATTTAAAAAATTGTTTTAGAATTTAATTTGCCGAACGACAGTTTAGTGGGGAGTACTACAGGGACAAACACAGACAGCGACAACTGTTGATAACTTTAATTGACGTGCCACCATTACAATAACATAATAGATAACCCGGATGTCTCGTATCACGAGAACTAACAATGAACGAAGGGACCTGTAACCTACAGGGACTTGTAACATATATAATTAACTATAATGGCGCGACCCTTTTTTTCCTTTTCTTGTAGAACAATTTATGGAATTAATAATAACTTTTAGACATGAAAACACTTAAAAGTCTTAATAAAGAACATAGTCTATTAGTTTTTTAGGCAACTGGCGTGTACGATTTCGTGGTAATCCTGGTATGTTAGAAGAAACACTTGTTGCTGTATTTGACAGGGTCTGGATGTTCAGGGTATCATCGATAAGATCAGATTCTGACGAACTGCTTGATGCTTCTGCCTCGCCACGGTCGGGTAGTTGAGCTGATGCAGTCGGGTCGAGTGGTGTGGTCAATACAGAAGGAATGATGACCGTATCATCTTCGCTATCATCTGAAGCAACGGAGCAAGCTGTGGGGGAAATATTTACCTTGTAAACCTCTGTAGGATGGACGGAGTATGTCTTCGAGCGGATTTGAGAGTTCCTCAGCTTATGAAGTTGTAGAAAGCCGTTCTGAACACCCGAGACAATATATTTGTCACGTGCCCTGTTTTTATCACGATCACAAAATAAATAAACTAAATCCCCAATACGGACGTTCTGTGGAGGACCAGACTTGCCAAGAGGGTTTTTTGACCGTTCACTGTAAGGATGATTTTGGTGACGTCGCACTTGTTGAGCATGTATGAGATTACTGTCATCGATGAGTAACTGCTCATTGGTGATTTGATCCCGCTTGCACCACATTTCCCTAGCCGACAAACCACTGGCCCGAAGACGAGAATTAACGCGCGCAATGACACAGCTTAATAAAACTGGGGTGATGGGGGATCCTGAAGGGTCCTGTCGGAGGATCTCATCCTCGATTTCTTGGATGGCGTGTTCAGCTACAGGGTTTTTATTTATGTTCTTTGTTCGGCCAAGTTCGACATAAACACCATGTTGGTTCAGTAAGCGGTCATTAACTATAGCTTGAAAACAGGGGCCTGGGTCACAGCGTATAATACTACAGCCTTCAACTGGTACCATCTCAATGCACAATTGGAGAAGGGCGTCCCGGATAGTTTGGTGCTTTTCATCCGGAACTAGGGTCGCAGAAGTTTTGGAGGTAACACATTCACGGAGTACGAGAATTTTCTGTTTGGCGCGACATAAAACATCTGCGGCGAAATAGGTTCCAACAGCTTTAGGTGGGGGTTCGCTAGTTTGTTGAATAATAGAAGATGGTATTTTGCGAAGAGCTGCACATTGTTGACAGTTTCTAGATACAGCGTCCACGGCTTGATCTAAATCCAATGCGTAGAAATATCTACGAACGATAAGACGTGTTTGGTAGCTTGAGGGGTGATCCAAACGAATGTGTAACGCAGTGAGTAGACCTAGTATCAGGTCCCTTGGGATGACGATTAAGTCTCGAGTCACAGCTAAAGGGTCAGACTTTTGAACGACTAGGGTTCCGTCTAATGCGATGGAGACGGTATTGAGGTACCGTTTGACGTCATGAATATTGGTAGATTTCTTTGATGGTCGAGTGCCCTGTGCAAGGTGGGCATGCACTCGACGCAGGTCCTTACAATCTTGCTGAGCCTGGCGCCACATGGAGCGATTAACAAATGGCAGCCTGACCGATCCATTCATAATATCTTTCACAGACACGGCACGAACAACAGAGTCCATGGTAACCGATATGAATGAGCACACTTGACAACTCATATCTTCACAATCTGGAGCATTTCGACTTCCAAAATCTGACGGAATGTTGACCTTGCCGGCTAGGTGGCGAATGAAAACTTGATATCGACTGGCAATGGATAGAAATGTGGTCACTCTTGGACTAGTAGAGTATTCACCCCTTTGTAACTTGGAATAAGCCTCAACACAAGGCTTACTGTCGGTAAGAATTTGAGCTACGTGACCAGACTGAATGATATAAGGAGCAAAGTGTTTGATGGATGCCGCAATAGATAAAGCTTCGATCTCACAGGGACTCCATCCATGTTTTCGTTCAGGGAGCTTCGCGCTGTAGAAACCAGCTAATTGTAGTTTGTCGTTTCTAATAAGGTATAATGTGGAGGCCAATCCAAAGCTTCTGACTGCCCCATCTGTGACTATCCATAACTGATCGTTGGGTCTTGGTAAAGTGATAGACTTCGCATCTTTTAAATATGCCTGTGCCAGGTGGAATGAAGCAGTCGTGTCATCCGTCCAGACGATTATATCTTTAGACTGAGCTCCTCCTCCCACTAGGCTATCGAGTGGACTCAAATATTTAGCACACTGCGGAAGTACACGTGAGAGGAACTTGTATGCACCTATAAAGGCTCGCAAGTCTTTAATAGTCTTAGGGATTGCACACGTCGATAGGGTGGCGATTCTGTGAGGGTTTGCAGTTAAAGATCCCTGACACCAGGTCCATCCAAGAATGGTAGTTTTTCTCGGTGCGATGATTGTTTTAGAGGCCTTTAAGTTGAGAGAGGCTGTGTGTAAGGCATTGAGAACAGCCTGCCAGTTCTTTAGGAGTTCTTCAGGAGTATTCCCCCCACAGTACAAATCATCGGCAATTTTGGCGACAAATCCCTGTTGTATCAAATCTCCCAGCACACGGCACATTAACTCTTCTAACGCTGTCTCTGAGCCCGGCATACCCATGGCACACCTAGTATATACCCGGATACCCTTAAATGGGGTAGCGACGCCGCAAAACTTCATAGAATCCGCGGATAAGGGAATTTGGTAAAAGGCATTTGACAAGTCTGTAGCAATTATGTAAGTCCAACTGGCAATTGACCGTAAGGTTGAATCGATATCTGGCATCAGGGATGGTTGTGGTTTAGCATACTTGCCGACTTCGCCAAACGCAGTCACCAGTCTGTATGTACCATTGGGCTTTTTGATCAAAAATGACGGATTTAAGTATTCGACTACCATATCCAGGTCCTCGGGTTTCCGGAAGACTCCAATGCTCTCAAGCTCATCAAATTTGGATTGTAGTTCATCTAGCTTATCTTTAGCATACTGGGGGACACGCCCTTTTCGTTGGGGTGGAAGGACTGGACCCATATTGACTTTTGCGGTGAAGTGACCAAATGCACCGTTATAGCCCTTGGGTGTTGTGCTGAAAACAGAGTCGTATTGTCGTAGTAGGGTGCGAAACTGCTTGTGAACAAGAGGTGACAGTATTTCATCCGGATCAAGCGTAACAGCAGATGAGGGCGGATTGGGCATGGATGTGGTCAGTGTGTGTATGTCATTGGCTGAATTCGGTGATACCAGGGGGTTATACACAGGTAGCACCTGAGAAAAGTGGCTGTTTCTGCGAACGATGATTGGTAAATCAGTAGAGTTAGGTATACGTAACTTTCCGCCTATCGGTCGTAAGACGGACGGAGCAGGCCATAATGCTTCGGTCTGATGGGGAGAGAGATCTAGCCGGGGTTCTACGGCCACTGTGTCGATGTTGTCGAGTTCAGCTGGGACATCTACTTCTATGAATTTACCAGGCCAAATAGTGGTAGCAGTATTCGATCTTAAAACAGAAGCTTGAGTGCGTCGTACCGATGGACTTGACTTTGGAGAAGAGGAACCGTATGGATAAATATGGCCACCAATAAGTACGTGTTGCTTGGAAGGTCGCACGGCTACATCGTTGACAGACATGAAAGGGGTTCCTCCAAGTAGTTCCACATCCATAGAGGACACGACTAATGCGGTGAATGATAAGATATGATCGTCTCTTGTCAACTCAAAGCGAGTTTCTCCGACAACGTTTAACAATGTTCGGCCATCAGCCTGAGTAGCGTATTGTGTACTTTTAGTAACAGGAATGCCCAACTGGAGAGCGAGAGGATGACTTATCATATTCGTTTCGGAACCAGAGTCGACGGTTATGCGGATGGCATGGTGGTCGTAGAATGCATCAAGATAGGGAGACTGATCGACTTGGACTCTTCGTGATGAAACCGACAAAGTTGGCGTATCAGCATTATTGGCATCTGAAATGATATCAGTGTTCTCATCATCGTCAGAATCGACGATAACCTGCCTGGCTCGTGACATAAACTTTCTGTCGCTCTCGGGCAAATATGGACATAGACTGAGGTAATGGTCAGTGGAACCTCGGTTGGATTGTAAGCATAGAGGACACATTGTAGGCGATCTTTTTGTAACACGTTGTGGCTTTAAGGTTTGTGGCCTGGGCCTTGGCGGGGGGTTATGCAGTCTGGAGTCTGGGCGAAACGGTGGTCGGGAACCCATACGCATGCAACGAACCTCTTCAGCAGTTTCCACCTCTTCTAAAAGGGATGACAAGGCCATTGATATCTCTGGTTTAAGTGACGCGATAGTACATGTACGTAATTGGATTCCATACCGTTGCTTAACGAGCTTGGGCAAACCGGGGTGGATTAAACGAAGCCATAATACTGTTATCAGATTTTCTAAGGATGGAGACATTTCCTCCTCGGTAACTTGAGTTCCATAGTGTGTAAGACCGCATCCGACAGTTAATAGATTGTCATCAACGAAGGCGATCAGCCTCTGAAATAAGTCTTCTGGTTTTTCATCCATTTCTAGTTTCATATCACAGATGTCAAGGAACTGTGCCCCACTATTCTGAAATCCATAGTGAGCACGGATTGATTGCCAAACAGAGCTTATACTCACAGACTTGTGAATAATGGTGTTGCGGGCTATCACCGGGCAAAAATTGGCGATTTGACCCAACATGAGCTCTAAAAAAACCACCTTTTGTGCTGCAGTCTTCCCACGTTCGTCGGTAAAGCCTCGATTTGGGTTATCCCTGCTTTTCTTAGACCATACAATATCGGGAGCGAAGAATGGGGCGAAGTTGTCATCTAGAGATAAAATGTATGTAAGGTTCTGTTTCCAGGCCTCGAACGAGGTGATAGTTTCATCTTTTGTCAAAACACGCTGCTTTGGGGCGCGAGTTGAAGCCATTGATTGATAAATTGATGGGGGTTCGTCTTAAAAATAAAAATTATATGGCGCGCTTCTACGCGAGCCAACAGAAATCTATTTACAGTACACTGTTGATAACTTTAATTGACGTGCCACCATTACAATAACATAATAGATAACCCGGATGTCTCGTATCACGAGAACTAACAATGAACGAAGGGACCTGTAACCTACAGGGACTTGTAACATATATAATTAACTATAATGGCGGAAGAAAAAAGTTAATATTGAGAGCTAATTAACTTGTCCCAATGCATCCCTCCCAGTCATAGGAGCGACCAAACTTATATTTATCACTGATTAGTTTGAACCTGTGTGTGACCTAGAGAGAGAGAGAGAGAGAGAGAGAGAGAGGGTTTAACGTCCACTTGACACAAACTAGGTCAGTTCGGGACTAACACATGGTTCAATGTTATTTCAATAATTCGCTTGCGCGTAGGGGTCAATAGCAGTGGGAGTGAACCGGAGGACCCGGAGGACAGGCTACCCTACTCCTTGTCACGTACAGCCAGGGAATTGAAACCTCGCCAGTTTACTCAATGACAGACAGTATGATATAGAGTGCACGTTCTAACCATTCGGCCATCCAACCCCCCAGGTGACCTAAAGGCTTCAGTAAACTACTGACATAGGGTCAATGAGTAAACAAAACCATACATAAAAACAAAACCGGTTACATATCGGTATTAAAGATGCATGATTCACATATGCCAAGTCCATAATCAAACTGTCTAGACTGACGAATAACTGAGATATTGAATGGGTTATTCCATCTGCACTATATAATCAGTTACGGTTAAAATGGCGGTCAGTCAATAAAAGAAATGACAATCAAGAATTTGTTTATTATCATAGCAATGATAGCATTGGTAGTTAACCATCGGCTATTTCTTATCAAAATTGTCTGCGATATCACCTCAGTGGAAGCAGACGTAAAATACAACTAACGCACACACACACTTGTCAAACTTCAAAAACTCAAAACTACGCTCAGATTAAGGTAATTTTACTGAAATTTTCAATATATTCATTTTACATTATCTATTTTGGATCTATTATAGCAAGAACGTCAGCTCTTTATCTTCATTATGCATCTTTAATGTAGACTGGTTCCAATATTGACCAATGTGCTGCTGTCTTCATTAGCCCAGTCAGAGCAGAACAGTAGCATGTTAAACCCCATTTCATTTGATTTTGTGAACAAGGAACTGTAACATGATATTTCTGTGTTCATATGTAACAAAGTTTTGTGACATGCTCAAGTCGATAGTTATTCCTAGCATCTACATGTAAGCCTGTTATCAACAACTGTTTTCCACAATGTTTCTTGAGTCTTAAAGAAGTTCTTTTAAAGAAACTTTATTAGAGCTTTAGGGGTATTGGCTGGTTGGTAAAAATACTTAAACATGCATTATGCAAGAGCAAAACTGCTTATTACAAGTCTTTCTTTACGCCTGAAATGTTATCTAAATTATCAATTAGAAATTAAAATTAACTTATCCAGACCATAATAAACTCTCGATGTCAAGGCTAGCCTTCGATGTTGGCTGGATTAGATTCCTATATGCCGCTAACTGCTATTGATAATTAAATCAATAAAAGTGGATAATCGAGACTATGCTGTTTATATTAATGATTTTAGTAATGATGACCGAGACTATGCAAAAATTTCACCCGCTTCTTTCTCGGCTCATAGTGGATCAATTTGACTGAAATTTTCAGCAAATTCCCTTTACACTATCTAGTTTTTAACTATTATAGCGAGAACTGGCATCTCTTTATCTTATCTCCCATAATGTATCTTTAAATATATTGCTAGTTGTTACCATGTTCCTTAGATTGTATAAAAAAATTTGACACAAATCTGTCATTGCATATATAGGTAGCTGCTATTTGTACATATCCTGATGTTTTGCTCAAAGATCCCAACTTTCCCTCTGATGCTAAAGATCGAGCTCAAAGAATATTAGATGGTTGTGGTGGAAAGAGTATTGGTAAGTGATGTATGTATGGTCTATATTTAGTGTATGTGTTATATAATTGTTATTTTAGGAGCATATAGGATAGCGTATGTGTTATATAATTGTTATTTTAGGAGCATATAGTAATTGTTCTAGTGTATAAGTGATAGACCTAGTGTATGTGTTACATAATTGGTTTTTAGGAGCATATAGTGATATACCTAGTGTATGTTTTATATAATTGTTATTTTAGGAGCATATAATGATAGACCTAGTGTATGTTTATATAATTGTTTTTTAGGAGCATATAGCGATAGTTCTGGTGTACGTGTTATAAGAGAAGATATAGCTAGATATATAACAGAACGGGATGGACAAGCCAGTAATCCAGATGATATATTTCTCTCAACTGGTGCTAGTGATGGTATTAAGGTAAATATAGTATTTAATTAATAAACTCATCAGAATATGGTTATTGAGGTGGAGAAAAGTCTATTTATTTTGTCATGCGAGTTAGTGATGCAACATTTGGATGTGTAAGGCTTTGGGTTTTGTGTGTGGGACCATAGGGGTTAAAATTAGTGTATATTGGTCTTACCCTTTCACTTCCGTCTACAGATGTGAGATCTGAGGTAAAAGTGTGACACAAAAGAAAAGGTAGAGTAAGCAGGCCATAAAAATAAATTACTAAAATCTAAATATGCCATAAATACTTTATATTCTACCCTCATTTTTTGCTGTTGAATAATGCAAGTCAATTATCACATGATCCCATCTTTCGGTTAGGGGTCAAAGGTATGAATAGTGATCAACATTGCACAAAGGTAGGATGTTTGGAAGCTGTAAATCATATCACAGTCACTCAATCTATGTTTGTATTTTTAATATAGATTATTATGAAATTATTAATGACTGGACGGACAATCATATCACAGTTACTCTTGCTTGTTTGTATATTTCAGATTATTATGAAATTATTAATGACTGGACAACCAGGTAAAGAACGAGCAGGTGTGATGATACCAATTCCACAATACCCTCTTTATACTGCTACTATTGCTGAATATAATGCCTATCCTGTATGTTTATATATTTAATTACTGTATATTTAAAGAATTTAAGAAGTCTTGACAATATTTCGCTGCTCAGAGCACTGTTGTAGGAAAAACAGAATCTTTGAGGATAAATGAATGCATTGTAAACTATTTGGGGGCCTGGTAGGGGACATAATCAATATTGCTTCAGCAATAATTTCAGAATACTTATTTTCTCTAGATTTAATACCGTAATTGATTATTTTGAAAATTTTTTTAGCATTTGATTTATTCTCTAAATTGGTTATTTTGATTGATTACATTAAAAATTATTTTATTGATTGATAAAAATATTGAAAATTATTTTATTGATTGATAAAAATATTGAAAATTATTTTATTGATTGATTATAAGTGAGAATTATTTATTGATTGATTTATTCTCTAGATTGGTTATTATTTAAATGAAGATAAAAACTGGGCTTTAGATGTAAATGAATTAAAAAGATCAATAGATGAAGCCAAACCAAATTGTAAACCACGAGCTATTGTTATTATAAACCCTGGTAACCCTACAGGTACATTTAAATCACTATTTTTTTTTATCTAAATAAGGAGCCACAGACAGTGGCTCGGTGTGTATGACCCTGGCTCACTATAAATCACTATTTTTTATTAAAATAAGGAGCCACAGACAGTGGCACGGTCAGTATGACCCTGGCTCACTTTAAATCACTATTTTTTATTAAAATAAGGAGCCACAGACAGTGGCACGGTGAGTATGACCCTGGCTCACTATAAATCACTATTTTTTATTAAAATAAGGAGCCACAGACAGTGGCACGGTGAGTATGACCCTGGCTCACTTTAAATCACTATTTTTTATCTAAATAAGGAGCCACAGACAGTGGCACGGTGAGTATGGTCCTGGCTCACTTTAAATCACTATTTTTTATCTAAATAAGGAGCCACAGACAGTGGCACGGTGAGTATGACCCTGGCTCACTATAAATCACTATTTTTTATTAAAATAAGGAGCCACAGACAGTGGCACGGTGAGTATGATCCTGGCTCACTAACCAGAAAGACCTTCAACTGAATTGGGTTTAACAACAGTCAAAAGTAATCAAAAGTCAACACTAGTAGAAGTTCTCTTCAAAGCTTGGGTTCAATCTCGGTATCCCACTAACCTCTATGTATATTCAGGTTGGGGTGGGGGGGGGGAGACATATAGTCAAATTATCTGCCCTTGATACTTCTACTATTTTAATCGACCAATCATGTGGGTGAAGGGAAGTAACTCACATTTTTTTGCGACTAAGATTATTGTGGTGAATGTAAACAATGACGCTAAGACTGTTATGGAAACTGTCTTTTGATTGGTTCGTAGAATCAAGCTATGATAAAGGGCAGATAATTGGAATTTGTGAATACCCCGTGAATGGACCCAGAGGTTAGTTGAGCAGAACGGAATGATACCACTGGGGATACCAAGAATGTCTTGGGATTTGGCGAGAAAGTTCCTCTTGATCTTCCAGTCTGGTTACACCTGTATCAGTTTTGCATGATGTAGGGAAATGAAAAGACTAGTCGTTCTGTTATAACAGTCCCGTGTTTATCATTGACAACACGCTGACAGATGGAAATCAAATTATGAGTATGATGTATAACCGCCATCCTCGGTATCCCCAGTGTTCTCATTCCGTTCTACTTCACTATACCATGGGATCATTCTAGTATCAAATTATCTGCCCTTGATTGTACGAACCAATCAAAAACCAGTTTACAAACCTGTCTTAGCCTCATTGTTTACATTCACAACAATGTGGTGGCTTGAACGCTTGATTATGAGAAAGTTTGCAAGAAATCTAATATAAAAGAAGTGACATGCACACAAAAAGATGTTCTAAAATATCTTTTTGATGGGAAAGATGTTTTTAAGTCAGTTCTTATGTATTTAACGATTTTTTTGATTAGTCGATAAAAATAGCAAAATCATCAAGGGAAGATAATTTGAATATGTGGCTCCTCCATGGATGAACCCAAGGGTTAGTGGAGTAGAACGGAATGAGACCACTGGGGATAACCAGGATGTATAACCGCTGTTAGGGCAAAATTTCCCTCATAGCACATGGCACGATGTATAGTTTACACTGTATTCCCATCTTCATTAGCTCAGTTGTTTCTGTCTTATGCAGGTAAGAACTGTCATGATTTCTCAATGTCCTCCACAATGAGTAAATTATATGTTGGCTATTAGATTAGATTATTTCATGCATATAAACAATCTGTTTTTTTTTCAGGTCAGGTTTTAACTAAAGAAAATATTCAAGATGTAATTAAATTTGCTAAGGAACAGAATCTGTTTATTATGGCAGATGAGGTAAAAAAAATAAATATATAAAAGATTAATAAATGACTTTGTTTGGGAAAAGATCTTAAGATATTAGGTGGGGGTTGGGGGGTGGATGAGCAAGTGGTCATTGACAAGGATGGGACAAAATACTGGTGTGCATGTAAAAGAATCCACTGAAGTTGGAAATTTGAAATAAGAGTAGTCTGTTTCACAGCAGTCCGGGCAAAATTCCCCTCATAGCACACAGCATGGTGTATGCACGTCTTCATTAGCCTAGTTGGTTTAGAAAAAGTAGGCTTTTATCATTTCATTTCATTTCTTTCAGGTTTATCAACATAATGTATACGCCAAGGGCTCCCAATTCTTTTCATTTAAAAAGATATTAACAGAAATGGGACCAGAGTACAATACCATGGAACTAGCATCATTTATGTCAACATCTAAAGGTTACATGGGAGAGTAAGTACATGTCTTAATCGGGGAGCCCTGTGGCTCAGTGAGTAAGATGCTGGCTCATTAACCAGGTCTCAGATTCACTCCCAGTGTTGACTGAGGAGATTTTCCGGCGCAGTTTCCCCTTGTCAGTGGTGCAAGACAAAGGGCCTTGAAAGGACGGTGTCTCTCATTCGGATAGGACAAAAAAAAAAACAAGGTCCTGTGTACACATTGGCGTGCATATAAAAGAACCCTTGACAGTTGGATTTCGAAATAGGCTGTAGTACGGCTATCTGGTCAAAATTTCGATCATAACACACTGCATGGCATATGCTCGTCTTCATTAGCCTAGTTTGTGTGGAAAAGTAGGAAGTTAATCCGCATTTCATTTCATGTCTTTATCAGGATATTTCAGCTCGAATTAAAGCCTGCAATTTGCCATGGAAACAGAAATTGATTATGTGAACTGTCAGTGTCACAATAACAAGAAATATTACAGTTAGAAATAGAGTTTTCCAAAATTGTATTTGAGAAATGTGGAAGTTTGTAAGATTCAATAAGTTTGTAGCATGTTTTAACCCCACTCAAAGACTGGGCTAGGCTGGTGCTTGTACATTAATAAAAATATTCAGTGCCATATTACCCTATAACCTAGAGGCCCACCAAAAGCATGGGCCCACCAAAAGCAAGGTCCATGCAACCTTGTTTATTTCTTTTAGTACACAACTTATAGGTTCCTTTTTAATACCAGAGACGACAATGGTGCATTAATCTATATAAAAAAGAAATTATAGTTCAATTTATATGTACAATATAGAATATTTATTTAGGGTAATCATATATCTAATTTTGTTTTTAAAGATGTGGATTCTGTAAAGGTTATTGTAATCAGAAATCTAATTTTGTTTTTAAAGGTGTGGATTCCGTGGAGGTTATTGTGAGGTTATAAATCTAGATCCAGATGTACGAGCGATGTTGTTAAAATCAATCTCCGCAAAATTATGTTCTTCTATTTCTGGTCAGGTAATATCAACTCCCTATAGAACTTGCTCTTTCAACAAGATCCTAGCATATACTGAATTCATGGCCCTGGTTTCACAAAACATTCTCAGACTTAAGTTAAGAATTTACTCAAAATTGTTTGCCTTATTTTAACTAAAATATAGCCATTTATAAAACTTTTGTTGTTTTAATGTATCAAATACATCAATAAGAAACTATGGGCAAATTTTTGTGTTTCTGGATCAAAGATATTTCTCATAAACAGTGATTGAAAGTTGAGTAATTTCTTAACTTTAATCTGAGAATGCTTTGTGAAACCGGGATCTGAATTGCTTTTACAGAAATTTATTGATTACAAAGTCATTTTCAAAACATACAGTTATTTTGTTCTATGGTCGTCACGCTTGCAGTGCTAGGCTAGAGGGGAGAATTTTGCACATGTAGCAGTCCGTGTTTCCACCAATTCTTAATCAAATTGTAAATGTCAAGGGTTCCTTCATGTGCACCCCAAACTTCATACAGGACTGCGTTTTTTTGTCTCATCCAAACAACTAGACACACTTTCCCTGGGGAGCCACGGTGGCTAAGGGAGTAAGTTTCCACTTGTCAGTGGTGCCAGATGGAGTGCTTGACAAGGACAGCTGTTTTGTCATTCAGATGAGACCAAAAAATGAGGTCCCATGTACACATTAACATGCATATAAAAGATCCCTTGGCAGTTGGAATTTGATATATAAGAGTAGACTAGCACCGCTGTCCTGGCAAAATTTCCCTCATGGCACACTGCATGGTGTATGCCCGTCTTCATTAACCCAATCGGAGCAGAACATTTCATTTCATTTACACTTTACTTGTTAGCTCAACATGAGCTATCCAATTAGAAACTGAGCGAAAAGTTGTTTCTTGTTTGCAATGTCTATGTCTTGTCCAGGAGTTTGTCTTGAGTATTTTATGTGTGGTACAGTCTTCCTGCCTTTAGTATTAATCGAATGTTCTCTTTGACATTTTTTGTCAATAATAATTTAGATAACAATAATAATTCATTAGGTTTAATTTTTGTGACATGTTAATTTTGTTATTGGATTATATTAATTTTATTTTGACAGGCTGTAATGGGTGTGGTTGTTAATCCACCCAAACCAGGTGAACCATCTTATGATGTCTTTCAAAAGGTAAATTACCATTATTTCAAACTTATTAGAACTGAAATTGTTATAACTAGAATTGGGGAATAGATAGAAAGGGGTTTGATGTTGACTTGACACAAACTAAATCATTTCGGGACTAACATATGGTTCAAATTTATTTCAATGGTTCGCTTGCTCTTTGGGGTCTTCAGCAGTGGAAGGAAACCAACACCATTGAACAGGTGACTTGACTTAATAACATACCTTATGATCTAAAGTGCACACATCTGGTTATCGACTCCCTAAATCTATTTTTAGATTATGCAAATTTCACCTCTATAATAACAATTTTTAACATTTTGTTTGATTGTAGGAAAAATCAACAGTTTTAGGTCAGTTAGCTGAGAAAGCAACCATGGTAACGGAGACATTTAATTCTATTGAGGGTATTACATGTAATGAGGTACAAGGAGCTATGTATGCATTCCCTCAAATAAAACTACCTCAAAAATTACTAGAAGCGGCTAAGGTAAGCTAACAGAACACCAGTTTTATGGGAAATCAATCACTGGTGTTATTCTAACCGCACAACGTTTCGACAAATATCCTCATATTGTTATCAAGCACAATGACATTTAGTAAACTTGAGGACAATATATCAGTTTACCAATGGCCTCTTACAAAGTATGCTCAGGTAAATGAAATGAAATGAAATGGAGTTTAACGTCCTACTGTTCTGCTCCTAACCTGGGCTAATGAAGACGGCATACACCATACAGTGTGCTATGAGAGAAATTTTGCCCGGACAGTGGCACTACGGCCTACTCTTATATCAAATTCCTACTGCCAAGGGATCTTTTACGTGCACGCCAATGTGTACACGGGACCTCCGTTTGTCGTCTCATCCGAACGACTAGACAGCTTTCCTTGTCAGCCCCTCCGTCCTGCATCACTGACAAGGGAGAACCACCCCGGAAAATCTGGATGAACTTTCTTGGCCAATGCAGGGATCGAACACCCGACCTCCAGGCTAGCGAGCTAGCGTCTTACCCACTTAGCCACGTGATCCCCATGCTAAGGTAAGCTCAATCAGATAATACAATCAAACAATTATTGCCAATTTGTTGCTTTTAGAATAAAATCAGTGATTGTTTGCCATATTGTATACTTTTCATAAATTCCACTTAAAAATTATGCTAAGATAAACTAAATCAGATGGTACCATCAAAAAATTATTGCCTATCTGTGGCTTGGGACATAACATGCGCACGCCTGAAAATAATGGTTTTAGTCCTAAATGTACCAGAAAGACATTTTGAACTTTGAGCTAAAGATATCATTAAAAACACAGCATGAAAACAAATTTGTCTCAGACAAAATGACAGGCACCAGAGGGCTTTTACCTGCCACAGCCGATGATTAGATAATAGGTTACAATAGCAATGGATACACTAAGCTGGTGCTGGTGACTCTTATCGACCAATAGCAATTTGTCATTATGTGGGACCCATAGAAATTATTTCTGTAACTGAAAGAGATTTTGTTGGAATCTATTGAAAATAAAAATAAATTTCAAAGTTATCTTTTTCTGGAATCTTGTGGATTTCTCCAACACTTGACTACTACAAAATGAAGTAGATTTTTTTGTATAAACAATATTTTATTTCAATTGGATGAAAAAGGATCAGGGAACAGGCATAGCCTATATCACCCCTCTCCTAAGGGGTTAAAATAAATATTATGTGTTTTGATTATTTCAGGCTAAAGGGCAGGCCCCTGATGCATTCTATTGTTTTAACTTGTTAGAAGAGACAGGTATTTGCGTTGTACCTGGTAGTGGTTTCGGACAAGTAGAAGGAACATATCATTTTAGGTAGGTCAATTGTTATGTTTGTCTCAGGTAGAAATGAAGTGGGGGTTAACGTCCTACTGTTCTGCTCTGATTGGGCTAATGGAGATGGGTGTCTCAGGTAGAGAAAATGACTTTGATTGAACAACTCATAAAACATCTATACCTCGGCTATAATAAAGTGACATATCTATAGTAAGTAATAGAAAAGAAAAGGAAACGAAATGGGGTTTAATGTCCTACTTTTCTGCTCCATTTGAGCTAAAATAGACGGACATGAGTGAAATTTTGGCCAGACAGCGGCACAAATGCCTACTTTTATTTTGAATTCCAACTGTCAAAGGTTCAAGCTAATGTGTACATGGAACCTTGGTTTTCAACCATCTGAACAACTCAACGTTCCTGGCCAGGCCTGTCTTCCGGCACAACTGACAAGCCAGAAGCTTCACGGCCAACACCAGGATTGAATCTGGGACCTCCAGCTTCATCAGCCAGCGCCTACCTCACTGAGCCACCGCGGCACCTGGAAAGAAAAGAAGTGAGTTGAGTATCTCATCAATACTGCAGGCCCTACTTTGTTCGTATTGATTCTAAGATACAGACCTCGTGGGTTTTCCCCGGGTCCTCCCACTGCTAAAGACCCCTACGTGTAAGCGAATTATTGTAATAAAATTAAAAACATATGTTAGTCCCGAAATGACCTAGTTTGTGTTGTGTGGACGTTAAACCCCATTTCTCTCTCTCTCTCTCTAAGATACAGTGGTGGATTTTATTTATGACAATCATGTGCTAGGGAGAAATACTTTGCCCAGGCAGCTTCAGTCTACTATTCTATAAATTCTAACTGTCAAGGGCTCTTTTTTCTGTACATCAATGTAGGCTGTATTCCCATAGTATGTAATTGTAACATCAGTGTTGTGAACAAAAGATGTAGATCTTTGATAAAAATTGAAAAAGTTATTATGGGGAGGTACATCTCTTATACTGTTATTACTGCATGCTGCTACCATTGCTAAATTGTCCACAACATTGTGATCTTCAAGATCTGATGTTTTGATCTTGCTGTGCATTTTCATTTTATTTTTCAGGACAACCATATTGCCACCAGTAGAGAAATTAAGAGAAATGTTAGGCAGATTCAAAGATTTCCACCTCAAATTCATGGCAAAATATTCCTAAAATAGATAAAATTGTAAAGGAATAGATAGGATCAATTAGTAGACATTGGTAAGGTCATAAGTGTCATAGTCTTTGAGATTTCTAGATAGATAAATCGGAACCATCATTGCACAGAATGTGTACAACAGTTATATGTACATATATTTTCCTAACTTTTAAAAATTATATATTATATAACTTTAAGTCATATACAAGTATATTGAAAAAGGTATATTATAAGTATTAATGTTGTTGATTTAATTTATCCTCAGTATTAAAAGGAATTTTATTTTTTAAAAAAGAATTAACCATAGATCAATTTAATTAATTCTTATAATCCTTTTACATTTAATGGAATTTATTAAATCCTTATACACTAGTTATATAGTACATAATGTCGACTAATTGTTTGTTAGTCTGGTTAGGTTTGCTCTGGGTTTCCAAAGAGTTATTACAGATTCTTAAACAGTTTTGACCCAAGGTATCCTGTATTCGGTTGTTTTCACTGACCTTCACTAGGGTACCCATGGATACAGTTGGTTAGCCTCTCTATACATGGAGTTGGTCGAGACAAAATGATTGAGCTAAAACTATTATTTTAACTACGATATATTTTGTTCTTAAGATCATTAGCTGACAGGGCACCTGTATGTTAATTTTACATACCGGTAGTATAAAGTGCTACCTGATTTTGTAAATTGTTGGATTACGTTTTTTGTATAATAATAATAATAATAGCTTTATTTCCAATCAAGGGTCCACAGGGGACATGGTACAGAGCAAACAAAGAGAGAAAACCCAAATGACAGTCAAGTAATAAAATACAATAGTATACATAGCTCCCAACAGGGGAGATACACATATAAGTACTTTATGCACTAAGGCTTCATGCCGAAAAAAAAAACGGCTCATGAGAACATTATTATTAATCATGAAAGGGAGATAAATCCACTTAACTCTTAATGTTACAGATCAATATTAAGCATAAACTATATAAGCCTACACATTATTCCCTGTATGGTGCTTAACCAAGGTAGCCAAAATATTAAATAGCCTTATGGCAAGTTCTTGTGCAAAAAGCGACCAAGTATAGGTTCATATTAGATATGTCTGTTATATGAAGTATGAAATAATGGTTATTAATTTCTAGTTTAATTTCACTCCCCTTGGTCATTTAGTATAGGTATGAATCTCACATTGACCAGATTAAGTATTTCTATAATAGCAGTATCGATTCAATATTTACATAGAATACTTACAACTTAATTATTAATTAATGAATGCATTATACTGGGGTTCTTGTTTCAGTCACATTATGAATACTTAAAATACAGATGTGACCTCATCCTTTGATGTTGGCATTCCATTATTTGAAGTAATAGTAATTGCAATGTGCCAATTGTACATTATTTACACTAAATGAAATACTGGACTCCCGTGATAATTGACCAGGAATTGTGATGTCATATCAAAATCTGAGCAATCAAATGGTCCATTAAAATTGGCAGACTTTAGAAATTTTAGAGAGCCTCAACCCAAGTTTACCAAACAGGAGGTCAGAATTTAGAGCCCTACACCATAATCATTAATTTCTTGATATATTGCTACCTCAATTTGACAACCATTTTGTAGGTGCACACCCTAATATACCCCAGATTTTAAGGGTGTATAGGCACAAAAATCCCCCAGTTTTGAAGCAATTTTGAAATGTGTGTACATCCCCCAGTTTAGTAGCAGATTTCAAAGGTGTACAATTTAGAGACAGATTTTAAACCGACTTAGTAAATTATATAATGATTGCAGTGCTAATAATTAAGAAGTAAACCTTTAATTGATTTAAAAAATGCTTTAACTCTCTCCAACTCTCACACTAACACATCTCCATAATTTGATATATTGGTGGACCTAATTACATGTATTAGAAATCCAAATTTTATGTTAACGATCAGCTAACAGCTTTTAATGATCAGTTGTTGGTTTATAAGTAACCAAAGTAATGTTTCCACTAACTGTATTAATATGTGCACATTGTACTCTTTAAAAAATCAATTTTATCTCCATATTTTTCAGTGGGTAAGATAAATATATAAAAAGAAAAATGTATAAAGGTATTCTTTATCATGCACACAATGGACACATTTAATGTATTAATGGAAAAATAAAATGAAGCTTTATATAATTTACTTGTTCTTAAGGTTAGAATGGATGATTGCAATTTTTATGAAATGAATTTATGACATCTTATATTTTGTCAACACCTATTAAGAATGAATGTTTCTACATGTAATTTAATATGATATGTAAATAAAAGTCAGAGATCAAGATGTTGTTCAGGTTGAGTGCTTCATGTATTTTCATATGTTGTTGTTCTAAATGAAGCCTTATTTCAACAATGAATTCTCTGTGAGGCACAGGTTGCTGGATTATATTGTATTGGTTGTGTTGAATTATTGTCACATTTTGCACTGGACCCCTAGGGCTAAGCTTTATAAAAGCTACATTTTATACCCCAAGTCTGCACCATAACATCAAATCATGATTTTAAACATTCTCATTCTGTTGTGTTGGAGAGAATAGCAATTCTAGTGTGGTGCTTTGACCCAATCGTGAAAGCATCATTCTTATATGCTATCAAACGAGATTTACAATCATTCATTTATAGAAGAGATGTGTTTTCTTCGGTACGTATCTGTCCAATAGCTTTCTATTCTAACATCAAGGTCTAAAATATAGCTGTGGTTTATAGCTATCGATCTGGTTAGCTATAAAATATTGTTCTAGTTAGCTATAAATAATACCTTACTAGCTACAGGCTATTGCTCTAGTTAGCTATTGACCTTGGCTCTTATTTAGCTGTTTACTATTCCTCTTGGTGGCTATAAACTATTGCCATAGTAAGATATAAATTATTGCTTTAGTTAGCTATTACTATCACTCATTTGAGGAGTTCACATGACAACCAAATTTATCTTGAAGTTTCAATTTTCAAACAGATATTTTAATCATTTGAAATAACACTTTAAAATTGAGTTTCCTGGAAAAAAATAAAAGAAAAATGAAATGGCCTCTTGGCACTAAACTCTTCATAAAATCAATATAAAATAATGAAGGAAATAATAAATATACAAATGAACATCATATACAAACGAACATAATATACATATGAAAAAAAAGTATATTTTGACTAGAAATAATAATGTAAATTTATACTGCACCCAAATTCCACCCCCATTTATGCATGCTCAAGGCACTATAAATATTAAAACACACAAAACAGTCAGTATCTAATCTAGATAAGAGATTTTAAATAAATAAGTTTTTAGTTGTTTACTTACTGGCAACTGATTCCATCCAAAGGTTAAATATTTAACATACCTACAGTATATTTGGGAAATAATGTTTCATATGGGGAAAAAAAATGTTCCTGGTTGCACCTATCTGATCGTATCTGCCTATTCTCATTCTTAGTCAATATCACCATGCACAAAATATATTTTATAATGCAACTATTTAGGCATCATTCAGCTGAGTAAAATAGAAGGTAAATATATACAAATGTGTAAAAACGCTAGTCTAGAGAATACTTGTCATTATGTTCACATGCTTTTCTATAATCTCTTTTGGAACCACATAAGATTTCAACAGAAATCTGGAATGGTATCTTTAAACAAAATATGGTAATGAATGATAAATACGGTTTCTTTGACATTGAATAATTTTTACCTCACTCGACTAATTTACGACTTTCTAAAAAGGGAAAAAAAGTCTGCAACAAAAAAATTGATATTGTACGTTTTTAATTTGACTACAAAAGTCAAAATGTTACATCATATAATGTGATGTAGCCAGTTTTATATTACATAATTGAGATAAGAAACTTGAGTGCTTGAGGGTCATTATGTTATGTTCGTAACCTTAAGATTTGATGCAGAGAATTTGACAAATTTTGCCCTGTTTTTTTAACGATTTACTTTGTAATTTTCATATTTTTGCAACCTACATTATTAGATTGTTTAAGTGGCATTGAAGAAATCTGTCACATTAAATAATGAATAAAAACTGATGGAATACAATTACTGAACTTAAGAGGAGCAACATTTCAACAATGGTTCAAACTCTCACTTGGTGCTTCAATTAAATTCAGCAATAGGTTTTGTATCTTGTTTACATTAATTGCCTGACTCGGTCCAAAATAAAACAGATTAAATTATTGCACTGATAAATGTAATGCAGTGATACACAAAAACTGATATGAAAAAATAAGAAAACTTGAAAGTGATCCTCCTTTCATGATACAACAACAAAATGATAGATAAAAAAACCAAACAAACAAGCCTTTAAAGTTTAACATAAACAATTAAATAAAAAAATCTCCAGATCTTATATCCATACACAAAATTATAAGGTAAATGACAAGATTTGAGCACTAAAAATTCACTAAAATAACAAACCATAATGGTAGCACTAATAATGCCTTTAAAAGTTCTTTGAGCAAATTAAAGTTTGCATCCACAACAATATTAAACAGCACACCTGAGTCGTATTACGATTGGATCATTTTGTTAGTCAAAATCAAAATTCTGGAAGGCCAAAGCAACCCAATTTCTAGATCTTCAAGGTCTTGATCAGTAAATAGCCACTGAAGTCTCAAGAACAATGTTTTGTTTAAAATTTCAAAACTTAGAAATTTGAACTTAAGGCTTACATATACATATGTACGTAAATGTTAGAGCAATCAAGCATTTGCTGTCTCCCCAACCCCGCTTAAGATGCAACATTTTTAATAGGTGTTCCTGAAAAACGAAAATTTATATTGGTCAGGCCTTACTGGTAATTGCATACTTTGTATGGTGGATTTGACAAACATTGTCTTAATAATCTATAACTTATAGCACTGGGGGCCTTAATCATTAGTCTGCAGTTCCAATCTTCTACTAATTGTTTAACTAAACAGGTTTAAAACATAGCATTTAAGTCATGATTTGAAGTCGCAATCTTGTAAATCTATAAAAGCACAGAAGTCCCTTTCCCTTTCTAATATACACATATATCATTATAAGAATATATATCTACATGTCTTTGTCCACAATAAATTCAACATCAAGGTTGAAACAGTTTATTGTAAGAGACGTGACAGATTTAAACTACCTTTTAACCATCACTAGTTACTGGGTCTTGGTAATCCAACCGTCAATACATGTACATCTAACTATTAACTTTTAACTTAGATTCTTCCCAACAAATAGTTTCTATTATATTGGACAAAATAAAAGAAATTATTTCCTTGTCACACTTTTCACTGACTATGTCTTTGTCTATGTTTACTTTGTCTGTATTTGATGATGTTATAAACTTTTGATGATATTGCATTCTCAGTTTTTTACAAGGAGAGGTACATATATTAAGTGACAGCACCTCTGGTTCGATAGACTGACAAGTTCCTTTATTAAAAGATACAGATGCTTTTACATCAGCCTTCAGACCTTTAAATGGATTATTCTCAACATTATACAAAGTTTTTTTTGTCATCATACAATCTTTAAAATCCACCACAAGACAATTTTGATCCAACATTCTACAAGATGTCTTAACTGACTTATCAGAGATTTCACAAGATGTTCCAATTACTTCATCAGTAATTTCACAAGGTGTTCTAACTTCTTCATTGGAGATTTCACAAGGCGTCTCGACAGCTTCATCTGGGATTCCACAAGATGTCCTTATTGCTTCATCAGAGATTTCATAAGGTGTTCTAACTGCTTCATCAGCGGTTTCGCAAGTCGTCTCAACAGCTTTATTTGGGATTTGACAAGATGTCCTTATTCCTTCATCAGAGACTTCACAAGGTGTTCTAATTGTTTCATTAGAGATTTCGCAAGGTGTCTCGACAGCTTTATCTGAGATTTCACAAGATGTCTTAACTGCTTCATCAGAGATTTCACAAGGCATTGCGACAGCTTCATCTGAGATTTCACAAGATGTCCTAACTGCTTCATCAGAGATTTCACAAGGCATCGCGACAGCTTCATCTGAGATTTCACAAGATGTCATAACTGCTTCATCAGAGATTTCACAAGGCATTGCGACAGCTTCATCTGGAATTTCACACGATGTCCTAATTGCATCTTCAGATATTTCACAAGATGTCCTAATGGCTTCATCTGAGATTTCACAAGATGTCCTAATGGGTTCATCAGAGATTTTACAAGATGTTTTAACTGATTCATCATAGATTCTAACTACTTTATCTGAAATTTCACAAGGTGTCTTATTAATTTCTTCAGAAATTTCACAAGATGTCCTGACTGCTTTATCAGGCATTTCCTGTTCTTGCGCATCAGAAATTTGATTCAATATGAAATATAGTGTAGCTTTAACGTCAGAAATTAATGTTTTGTCATTGGGAACCTTATTTGATAGATGATCGATCATTTTTGTACTTTCAGCATCATGAGTTTCCACATTCCCTTGTTTAGTGCCATCTAATACCAACTCCTGAATTCCTGGAGTAACTGCAATATCATTCACACATAAAATAGAACACCGTTTCTGACTGGACAAATCACTTTTAAAATCAGATGGTAATAATTGCTTGTTTTTCTGTTCTAAAGTTTCTTTGTCCAAATCTTGCACAGTGTTAACACTTGTTGTCTTCAGATCAGCCATGTTTTCATCAAAGACTTTCTTCTCCATCTCACTCGACGTCAGATGGGGTGGAAGGAACTTCTCCAACAGAACAGTAAATGAATCATCAGTATTATCTGTGCCATCTTTTGTGTCCTGGTTTTGAAGGGGTATTTCTGCCCAATTTTTTGAATTTACTTTCTCAGAATCTAGCAAGCCTAATGGACATGATGGAAAGCAGTATGGTGTGACTACCTCTGGCTCTGTTTCAAGATGCTTCTGTCTGATTTCTTGAACTGTGTGAATTGGTGTTTCTTGAAACTGGGAATTTTCGCTCTGTATTTCTTTACATTGTGAATTGTCTTTTAGAACATCGAGGATTTCAATATTTACTGGAAATTGGAAATTGACTTTTTGTAATTCTTTAATGTTCAGATTATTGTTTGATGCATATTTTGACACATCCTTGGTTTCAACATTGAATTCACTTAATACAGAATTAATCACTGTTTGATTTTGTGGCACACAGTTATTTTCTTGTTTATCGAAGCTGTTTGAATCAACCTTATCTACTACTCCCACAGCAATTGTTTGAACGTTTGGGACTTTATCACTGAATTCTGTAGGAATTGTTTGAATACCAGGAATTTTATAACTGGGTTCCAGCCGAGGAGAGTCACACGAAAGAACTTCAGCTGTTATAGTTGCAGAAGAAATGGATTTTCTACATTTCATATTGGTAAAAGTTTGTGACATAATGGGAGTGTTATAACTTTGGATGATTTGAACTTGATCTTCTGTAAGTTCATGATAAGAGGAATTTGAAAGATCCCCACAACTTGTACTATTATTTCTTATATCTTTGTCCTGACTATCTCTGTTGTTTCCTTGAGAATATAAATTGTTCTGACTATCTATGTTGTTTACACAAGGAGTTAAATAGTTATTTACTGTAACATGAGGCATAGGAACTAAATTTGGGATAGACAAATCATAATTTTGATGATCACAACTATTATGGTTACTGTTTAGTAAACCCACAAATGACTCCACATTAGCTGTTGAATTCTCGGACAATGAAGGCTGAGAGATTGAAACTGGAACGGCTGTAGGATTTGATGCCAAACCAAATGTCTTATCATTGAATAATAAATCATACGGATTATTAGATCCAAATTCAAAAGATTTGTCACTTCCCCAAATCAAATTTTCGTTTGCCACCGATAAATCACCGGGTTCAAAACAAGGGTTTTCATCATAATTATAATTCAGAAGATCAAAAGTAACAGGAAATGTATCAAACACATTTTCATTCAAGTTGTTGGTGTGGATATTTTGAGGAAGTAAAGTAGGAAGCTTGTTTGGATCAAAACATTCAAAACTGTTTCTCTGAAGGATTGGATCATTGTCATCGAAAGTAATTGCAGACATAATTTCGTCCTGATTGGCTAGGACCTCGGTAATAACATCATCACTAGAACACTTTTCTACAAAGTCTTTAGAATTGTCACTTGAAACCATTGGTAAAACTGAAGCGACTTTTGTTGACAGACTTGTGGTTTGGTCCATCGCAGACCCTGATACTTCTGGTAAAATTATTTCTGATGTTTTCTTGTTAGTTTGATCTTTCAGACTTTTTTCAACTTTTGTCAAGAGATTTTGAATTTCTGGGTTGTCATGGTAAAATCGTCTGATATCTTCAGCTTGTTGTACAGGATCTCTGGTATCATGGGAATCAGTGTTTGAAATGTTCATGTTTGGAAATGTTATCAGATCTGACAAAAACAAAAGGAAGAAAAGTTAAAAATTCATAAAATACTAAAATCTCTTTTGTTATTTCTACAAATTCTTAAATCATTTTACCTTCTGGGGGCCCAATCCCTGAAGCATGAAATGAAAGAGAGAGAAATGGGGTATAACGTCCACTCGACACAAACAAGGTCATTTCGGGACTAACATATGGTTTAATTTTATTTAAAAAATTTGCGTAGGGGTCTTTAGCAGTGGGAGGAAACCGGAGGACCAGGAGAAAAAACTCACGAGGTTGGACAGGTGACCCTACTCCTTGTCACGTACATCCGGGGAATCAAAACCACGCCAGTTGATCCAATGACAGACTTTATGATACAGTGCACACACACTAACCATCCAACCCCGCATGAAATGAAATGGAATTTAATGTCTTACTTTTACTCCAACTGGGCTAATCAAGATGGGTATATGCCATGCAGTGTGCTATGAGGGGAAACTTTGTCTGGACAGTGGTGCTATGGCCTAATCTTATTTTCATTACCAATTGTCAGGTGATATATTCAAACCATCCGAACAACTGAACACTTTTCCTTCCAAACCCTCCATCCTGTACCATCCAACCAATTTTCCTTCCCGACCCTCCATCCTGTACCATTGACAAGGGGAAACCAGACTATAAAATCCAAAGGACCTGCCTCGGTCAATACCAAGATCAAACGTCTACTAAGGCTCCCCACAGGTGCCATGGTTACACACACTTAAGGTTGATTGAATATATAGTAAAATGTTTGATAAATATGTAGGTATGTGTTACATGTGCTTTGAGAAACGAAGGTCCTGGACCACACAAATAGTTATGGGGGAAAAAAGCAATTTATTATTTTTTAAATGTAGTAATAATAAGGAAGACAAAGGGAATAAGCAATGCAAGGAGTACCAGGACAATTAGTTACTGTTTGTGATTGAATTCAGTTAAGTCAACAGTAACAGTAGCCCTATATCATGAGAATTAGTAATCGTGTAAGTAAATTCCTATTAACAGGATATATAAATAAATGAAATGGGGTTTAATGTAACACTTTTTTGCTCCATACAGGCAAATGAAGATGATGTGCTATGAGGGATATTGTACCTGGATAGCTGTGCTGCAGCCTACTGGTATTTCGAATCCCAACTGCCAAGGTTTCATTTACATGCATGCCAATGCATACACAGGAACTCAGTTTTTTGTCCCATCCAAATGACTCAACATTGTTCCTTGCCAGGCCCTTTGTACTGGACCACAAGACATGAAACATCTGACCAGTTGTCGTTGGAGGTCACATGAGGGGTCATACAAGTGGCTTTTGACTCTACGACGTCAGATGTTTCTAGTAGGATACCCACAGTTCCATGCATCGCACGCCAAGAACTCGCTAATCCCTCACATCAACCAGAACACAGGTTATATAACAACTTTTCCAGATCCTAATGTAGTAAAAACAAGTAAAATGAAATTTTGAACAATAAAAAAACGAAACAAAATAGGATCGGTGTTTTAATCAGATAGCACAAATGTAGAAACTTGAAATGTGATGTTTGTTGGATGTGATTCAGCCCCGTGACAAAACCCTCTCACATATGATTTTTCGGGAATGACTGCCCAAGACTGACATATTCTTTTTGTACTGCCTAAATTTCAAGTGATTCATGAGATATCTCTACAGCACACATGCTCGACAACATGGTCACCCACCCCAAACTAACCTCACAACTACAATGAACACATCAGATTTTTTGGGAAGGAGTGTGTCTGAGAAATGAGATCTAAGGTCCTACTTTTCATCGATTTATACAATCTAAACTTCCGGAGCTTCATGACACATCTATGTACAGCACACATGTTCGACCACGTGGAAACCCATCTGACACTAACAACAGATATTTTTGGAAGTAGAGTGTCTGAGAAATGAAATTTAATGTCCTACTATTCTTCAATTTGTAAGACCTAAATATCCAGTACCTCATGAGACATCTACAGTACACATGTTCGACAACTTGGAAACCCAGCCCACACTAAATGAAATGAAATGAAATGAAATGGAGTTTAACGTCCTACTGTTCTGCTCCTAACCTGGGCTATTGAAGACGGGCATACGCCATACAGTGTGCTATGAGGGAAATTTTGCCCGGACAGCGGCACTACGGCCTACTCTTATATCGAATTCCAACTGCCAAGGGATCTTTTACGTGCACGTCAATGTGTACACGGGACCTCGGTTTTCCGTCCCATCCGAACGACTAGACAGCTTTCCTTGTCAGCCCCTCCGTCCTGTATCACTGACAAGGGAGAACCACGCCGGAAAATCTGGATGAACTTTCTCGGCCAATGCAGGGATCGAACACCCGACCTCCAGGCTAGGGAGCTAGCGTCTTACCCACCTAGCCACGTGATCCCCCAGCCCACACTAAATACAGAATGAACCAAAACTACAATGACTATGATCAAATTAAATAAATGTTTCTACCTGCAAATTGTGATAAATCGGGTAAAGAAGCTGTACTGCCTGTTGTGTTGATATATGTCTTCAAAATAACTTCTAAAATCTGTCGTTGTACTCGAACCAACGTTAAATGTTGTAAACTACGCTCGTGTCTTGCAAAAACAAATTTAGTGGCAAAATCCCGCTGACATACAGTACAATGATGAAATTGTTTGACGTGTATTCTACGATGATTTTTAGCTTCTTTCTGAAAGTATTTAAAAAAACTGATTGAAAGAAATTCACAATCAATGAAAAGGCCTTGTTTCATGCCAGATCATCCAAACCTTTTATTGCCTGTTTCTATATCTACAGGTCACTTTTAATTAACAAGTTCAATACTACTTTAAATAGGTCATTTTGGGACTAAGATATCGTTCAATTTTATTTCAATAAATCACTTGCGTGTAGGGGTCTTTAGCTGGGAGGACCAAGAAAAGACTACGAAGTTGGACAGGCGACTCTACTCCTTGTCACGTACAAGAGGGGATGGAAACCACGCAAATAGACTCAATGACAGATCTTATGATCTACATGTAATGTGCACATATTAAACCATTTGGCCACCCAAAGCCCATATATATGGACCAGAAACCGAGCACTCAACACCCCCAATGTAAAATGGAAAAAAGAAAACAAACATACCTTGTTTTTAAAATCGGTACGACATATCTGACACTTGTGTGGATGAACCTGAGTAATATGTTTTCTCAACAATTCAGGTACTCGTGTATGAAACTGTTGACAATATGGACAAGATTTGATCTTCCCGGTAATTGCGGCTCCTTTAGATCCACTACTATTATGAGTAATAACTATTCGTGGTTTATTTGGTAGCGAAGCAGACAATTTCTCATCTCCCGACTCCTTTTTCTGTATCGTTTTCTTTTGAATGTCTTTCGGTGATATCAGCGGATTGCTCAATTTGACTTTAGCTTGCGACTTTTTCACAGGAGATTTTGCTTTAAATAGACTTTGTTTGGTTGGGAGAATTTTATCAGTTCTAGTACTTTTGGTATTAAGATCGTCGGCAACAACATCATTCCATTCATTATCTGTTTGGGAATCATAAGTTTCAGGAATGTCCATGACATCCTCGAATCTAGAAGATGGCAGAGATGCACTTCCATCATCTGAAATTTCAGTTACATCTGATGTTTCCTTAGTCTTTTTATGTTCAATTTTTCGAACATTTGATTTCTTTGGCTTTTTCAAACTTGACTTAGCTTTGACATGAGATCTTTCGGAAACTTCAGAGGTATCACTTTCAAGGCAGGAGGATGTTTCTCTTTCTGGTTTAGGCCCACCAGAAGACTTTTTATATATCAGTTTTCTCTTCCTTTTTACTTGAGAAGTTGTTGTTGGAGATGATGGCAATTCTTCAGAACAATCATTTTCACAATCTTTTGAGTCAGACTTTTTGATATGTTTGTCCTGTGACAGTTTCAGTTTAGGTTGAGAAGATGGTTTATTTGATGGTTTTCTCTTCTTTTTTACTGGAGAAATTGTTCTCTCGGGACTTTCATTTTCTCGATTTCTTGAGGTAGGTTTGTGGAGATCTGAACTATCTTTTTTATCTTTTCTTTGGAGAGTGTTAGTGTTATGAGATCTTTTATGATTAGCATTTAAACTAGAAGGTTTGACAAACTGTCCTAATTTCTGTTTTTCTTTTAAAGCTTTTAATGTGTTGAATATAATACTACTTCTTGGAACTGAGGTACCTTTTGTTGTTTTATTTTTTGTTTTGGAATGATGTGAGGAACCTATACGATTAAGGTTAATTTCTAAACTTGCTGTTTTGGCATGAAGGCTGCTTTCTGAACTCTCTGAAACAGAACGTATTCTACTTGGTTTTATGTTCACTATCTTAGAGCTAGAAGCATCAAAATAAGACCTAGATTTGGAAATTGTAGATGTCTTTTCATCATCATCATCATCATCATCATCACTTGATCTTATTACTTTTGCTCTCTTCTTTGGAACAATTGTTTTAATTTGGGATAGTCCTCGTTTGCGACCACGTTTTCTTTCAATTATTGTTTCCTCGTTACGACCCTGTGTAATGTCTTGTACCAATACTTTGCATGGTGTAACTACCTCCGGTGAATGTCTACTGGATTTGTATTTAGTCTGTTTGTGGTATTCAGAATTTCTAGTTCTGGAACTTCTATATTTATCCAAACGACTACTGTTCCGATCAGGTTCCCATGAGGAGTTCCGGGATCGTAGAGGATAAATCTTTTCATATGGAGTCTGTGATGTTCTTGAATGTTCTGATATTGATCTTGGCGGTTTTTTAACTTCCATTTGTCTTTTTAAATCTCTTTGTTTTCTGTTACCAATGGTATGTTTGTTGTTAGTTTGACAAGATGAGTCAGAGCTAATGGAGAAAACAGAAATATGACCATCAACTACAGAGTCTTCACTACAGCTTCCGTGTGAAACAGATCTCTTTATAAGATACTTGCAGACATTTTCTTGATGTCTTCTGGATGTTTCTGCAACTGACTTATTATTAACTTTGCTGTGGAATTTGCTGTTTTCACCTCCATTTTTCTTAATTACTGAAAATTCAGCTTTAGGAGATGGTAGTGACTGTTTATTTTCAATGGAATTATCTTGGAAAAGCTCCTTTTGACATTTTCCTGATCTAACCATTGGACGACTTCTTCCACTCGATTTTAAAGTAGATTCTCCTTTCTCCGTTGGTGGAATTTTCTTTACATTAAATGTTGGACTTACTGACATCGTCTGTGACCTAGTATGTTTAACTTTTTTTACACTGAACCACGAACTGGGAAATAATGGCGACATGGCATGTTTAGATTCTGATTTTGCCAACTTAAATTTTTCAAGTTTGGCTAGAATCAAAGATAAATTGTTTTCAGAAAGACACCGGTTCTCAGTTAGTAACGATTTTTTCAATGAAGGATTTTTTTTGTTAAAGCTTAATGGTGTACTAGAACCACTACTGTCTTTACCATATTTCTGTAGCGAAGTCAACGAACAGTATTTTTTCACGTTTGAGTTTGAAAGAACTTTATAATTTAACAAAGATCGGTACAGATTTTTCTCAGCAAGCAAACTTTTAGAAAGCAGAGAATTATTCATGCAAATATTTTCTTTTCGTGCACTATTTGGACAGGAGTTGCTTTGTGAATCCAAACTGTATGACCATTTTTCCTTTTTCTCTGACTGCTTTGTTACATTGTTTTGCTTTTCATTATCATCAAAAGATGACGAATTTTTAATTTTATAGTCCAGGATATTTTCGACAGCTCGAATCTTCAGATGTTTTTCATATTTTTCAATAGGAGATCTGATGAATGATTCAGATGTCTTTTTGGGATGATCACGTTTTTTAGTATTGTCTTTACAAGGACTTCTGGTAGATAAAATATTGAGCTTTTGGTGTGTTTCTGGATTATCACTGGCAACAGTTGTTTTTTGTAGGTCATAATGTAACATGTAATCGTTTTTATTCGTTACTTTATTAGTCTGTGCAGAGGTTTTAATATGATATCGATCATTACTAGAATTCTGGTTATTTATCTTTTCTGGAATTGGATCAGCAGATGAGAAACGATTTGGTCGTCTTTGTTTGCGTCCACCTGGAACGCCATTTCGAAAGTCATTATTCCTCTGGGGATTACTCTCATTTCTCGGTATCTGGTTTGATCTCAAGTGATCAGGCCTCCAAACATTTTCTTGGTGATTACTAAACTTTTGTTGGAAATTATACCCTTGATGTCGAATTTCATTCTGATGACGATTATTTGAGTTAAATGTTCTATTTACTTCTGCATGGTTAACATAATTCATGGGATGATCATTCATTAAATAAGCAGCTTGATGCTGCATTCGGTTCTGTATGTAACAAAAACTTTGGATGTTGCCAGCTAGGCTTTGGGTTAAAGGATCGTTATTATCATTAAAACATTGAGATTGCTGCGGTGGGGGAATTGGTAATGGGGTAGTGTAAGTGTTTGGATACAGGAGACTGGGTATATCTCTTTGAGTATGAAAATATGGATTTGGGTAAGACCCTTGATGTGGACTATCTTGAAATAGCTGTGAATTGTTTTTTTGGTAAGATGAATAATAATTGAATCCGCGTCGGTCCATTTTAAATACTGTTGTATAATAAATTCTGTTTACAAACTTTTAATCTATCAAAATTTCTTTTCCTTGAAAAAACTGAAAATATAAATTAAAAATAATTTATTTGTTATTGAATTTATCATAAGCTTATTTGATTTTAAGTATTAAGACAGAGAGAAAGAGTAAGATAGCCATCCAAATCATGGAAATACACACATACAGCAGCTAGTGCTTGACAGCAGCTTATCTGAAAGGAAAACTTTGATGTTGAATAACTTCTATAATATTTACAAGGTTTTTTGCAAAAGGGACAGACAGTTGTGGAATGCTGACTATTGAAATATTTTGTTCTCAAACAGGGGGATCACGTGGCTAAGACGCTGGCTCGCTAGCCTGGAGGTCGGGTGTTCGATCCCTGCATTGGCCGAGAAAGTTCATTCAGATTTTCCGGTGTGGTTTCCCCATTGTCAGTGATGCAGGATGGAGGGCCTGACAAGGACAGCTGTCTTGTCGGTCGGATGGTGTGTACGTAAAAGATCCCTTGGGACTTGGAATTCGATATAAGAGTAGGCCGTAGCGCCGCTGCCCGGGCAAAATTTCCCTCATAGCACACTGTATGGCGTATGCCTGTCTTCATTAGCCCAGGTTAGGAGCAGAACAGTAGGACGTTAAATCCCATTTCATTTCATTTCTTGTTCTCAAACAATGTCAATGTGGGCATATACTATATAGCATCCATTCAACACAAACTAGGACTGAGTAGGTCATTTGGAGACTAACAGTGGTTGGAGAAAATGGAGAACCCTGAGAAAACCCATAAGGTTGGACAGACAACTTTAATCCTTGTAGGATTGAAAACATGACACTTGCTTTAATCACATCTAAGTGCATGTGATAGACCACCAGGCCATCTAACACTGCTATTTTACAGTTCTATTTCATGTGTATTTGATTTTCAAGATGTTCTTAATATGATTTTGTATTAATGCTGACTCAGAAGATGCTATAAATACAAAATTTAAGACGGTTTTATCAACTTGCCAAATCGGATCGCTTGGAATTTAATGGAGATGTCAGTTGACAGTATACACAATTTAAAAGCACTTTCACGAGTTTGTTAAATGCGCCGATTAGCTATTAACAATTTTAGTGGCGGTACATAGTTGAAAAAAAAAACCGTGATCATCCGATAAAATTGCACCTCGAGGTGATCAGGTGATTTGGGATAATCACTTCAGAAATCAGTGTTTATAAATTCGCTGATTAGGGTAGGCCTAACCCATTTGAATTAGATGGATGTTACAGATGATTGAATGCAAATCCCTTTGTTCAAAACACCTTTAATAAATAGGCCCGTCTACTAGTACTAGGACTGTTTGATCAAACGAATCATACCACTACTAAAAACACTGGAGCAAAACTATATATATTAACCTATATGGTTGAAAACGCTGAAATTGAAATTGAATTTCTCACAGACTTGCTCAATATCATGATTTGATTTAGATGTTAACAATTTAACCTTTGTAATCAACAAAACTCATAAAAAATCCATCAGTAAAGACAGCAGTTTAAAGGTGCTGGTAGAAAACTTATTATTGAGAACTGTAGGCCTAATGCTACATTCTGATGATCAGATTAATGTCTGTAAAGATTGT